ACAGGCAGATACAACGCAGCCTTCTGCACCTTTAAAAGTGAAATCTGTTGTGTCCTCTGACTGCCACTCTCCCTTCCCTTTATTCCTTGTGGCACTCGTGAATTATCACTTCCAAAAGGGGGAGTAAAAAGCAGTAAATTTAGCTGGTCAAGTTTTTTAAACCAAAAAGCTTTACATGTGAAAGATAGTAAGTTGCAAAGATGTGCACAATAGCAGATTCCTACACTTCTCACAAGTCTGAAGATCTGCAAGCCTAAAAATTAAACTATCTTCACTATTAGAAGAGCTTCTGAGTCTTGTTTCAGCAGAAATAACCAGCAAGCAAAATCAAAGCTCCAAATCCTGCGTTTGGCAAACCCTCCAGGAATTCTTAACGTATTTACTATGAAATTAGTGTCTTAGAAATAATATTAAAATAAGGGATATTAAAAGCTACACGAGTCTTTACAAATTAACAGCACGGAACAAACTACGCAGCGCCCAGAACATTTCTGCTACAGTTTTATAGGTTTCCTTTCAGAAGAAATACTGAACACATCACCAACCGAGCACAACCACCACTGAACACCAATATCCTTCCAGTAACATCAGTTTCCAGAACATGTGTGTATCAATATATATATACACAAAATAAGGATAAAAATTATTTGGTTCGGTATTTTAATAACATCATTAATAAATGTATACAATGGCAAACATTAAAAAAAAAAAATCAATATGTAAAGGAAATTACAGTTTTAAATAAGAGCTTTTTAAGTTTTGTTTCACACCTAGGTACATTCCTTTAAGGCAGTTTTATTAATATCAAAGCATTATTTACAAATACGTTATCATCTACCTCTAAGAATCATCCGTGAGCTCCGATGAGGCTGCACCATGTCTTGGACAAAGTTGGGAATGTTGCTAAATAACAGCAGACTATCAGCAAAGCAAATGGAAATTCTACACTGTACGGTATTAAAACAAACTCTGTAAGCTTGAACTAACAGTGACACATTTGGCAACTCAACTCTTGCTGCTAACAGTGATGTGCTCTTCTTGTGGGCTGCCCCACAGCCGCTGTGCTGCGCCCTGGGAGGCTGTGTTTCAGAGAAGGGGAGGTGGCCCCCGAATTACATCGATAGTTTGGTTTGTAGTGGTATGGAAAGATGAGGTGCCTTACAGAGGTGTTATACCAGTCTGGAAAGGAAAGGCATCAGAGTACAGAGCGCTTCCTGACTGCTCTTCTGCTCTGAAATGTCTTCACACAATAAGCACTGGGAGTATTAGGATCTGATCTCAATGAAAATGTATTCCTGGTGCGTGCTGCTTTGGTGTATCTTGGTGAATACAAACCAAATTCCCCCGTGGTCTCTGTCCTGATGCTGGCCCAGCAGCTCAAAGCCTGCCAAGAATGGTGCAGGGCCACCAGCCAGCACTTTGGCACACAGCCCTGACCTGCACTAGTGGGATGAATTCAGCTGCCACGTCCCCACCAATGCTCCCAAACAAGGAAAATCCACCGAAGTTTTTGGACAAAGGCTTTTCACCTTCCCTACGTGTTATGTGGTAACTCTCACATTTGTGACTCAGCACCCCGGCCGTGATGGGAAATTCTGGACAACTTAATGAGCTTAATGAAAAGAGCCCAAAAATGAAAAGTCAGGGGAGCGCCCATGAAGGGATGACACAGCCACGTGTAGTGAGGGCAAAAGGCTGCACGTGCCTGGCTGTGTGCCACACATCAGCCATGGCAATATTCCCAGGTCTTCGAGTATGCGGCACGCCAGAGCACACACAGCTGCACAGATGCTGCAATACAAGCAATGCTTGGCACCATGGGTTAATTCAAGACACACTGAGTTCTAGAAATAGTGACACTATGAACTGGTTAGGTTTAAAAGTTTCAAGCGCATCAGTCCTCTGCTGTCAAGGAGAGGTACTGGGAGAACGCACCAACGCTCAGGCCCTGAAACAAACCTGAGAGTAGCAAAATGGAGAATTAGTTTCCTAGTATTTACTTATTTCAATTATCTTTCCTAACAGCTATGGCTAAGAAACTCTGTAAGGCAAGTTTTCCTTCGGTCCCTATGGCTATGCCTCTACTGCAGCATGGGAATGACAGAGAAAGCTGGCCTGACATCAAGTTTTTATTGCTTAATAATTTTCTCTGAGAGCACACCAGGGGTCTCCTCTCTGGCTCACTTTGTATTGAGGAAGAACCTCGGTAATACCTGAGCTCTGACTGCACACAGGGACACAGCAGTGCCTGCAGTACGGCCTGTGACACCTGGAAGCTGTCGCTGCAGCCTGGAGCACCCCGAATCCTTCCCTACAAGACTGTGCTATCAATTACAGCACGGGAAGTTATTCCACGTGCAACTGACCTCAGACTGCCTGCAAAAAATGTTGTGGAACTGGATGTCAGGAAAGCTCTGGGCTTCAGGTCACTCCTGGAATCACTGAACAATGGCAACACTCTGCAGGCAGCAATGGAAATCTTGGCACTGAGAATAAGGGGACAGGAATGAGACACTTGTATGAGTTCATGCTGAAATTCAGCTAATGAATTTAAATACCAGAAACATCATCAGAGGAAAAAAATCAAACTCCTCTAAGGTGTAGAGCTGCAAAGTTTGTCCTAGTTTCACTCAAGTGGAAAAAAAAAACCTGTAAGTTCTCTGTGGAAAAACACTCAGGCTGAACAAGGTATTTATGTTGCCAGACTCTGATGGAGATCTTGTAACACACTCCATCATAAAGAAGAGTTTCAGAAGGAAGTCACTTTCAGGAAAATAAAAGGAGAAAATTTCCAACTCTAAACTTACTGAACTTTCTTTTTCTCTTTTCCTTTTTGACAAAGTTTCTGTAAAATAAGAAACAACTTGCCAGTACGTTTTAAATCCGTGGAACTGCGTTCTCTCTCAGGTGGAAAATGATTCTGTTCCCATTGTCCCTGAAAGCTTGAGACTTCATACATGGCAAAACCTGTACGCCTCAAGAAAAAAGAGGAAGCGAAAGGAGCTGCAGTGGCCGTATGGCAGTCTGAGCAGCAGCGTGATCCTCCTACAAGCACTGCAGCTCCAGGACTGAGCCAGGCTTACTTTACGTGAACAGAGAGCTGCACTGGAAGATCAGGCATGAGGTTACACAGCTAATTTAACCCTTGAGAACAGAAACATGAATGTGCCTACTGTTTAGAAATAAAAAAGGATTACAGTAATGTTAAATCTGCTTCTAAGTTCAGGTACACTTCCTTTGAGCTCACTGCAAATGCTTCCGAGACAACCACCGAATGTACCAATTACACTTGTTGACTTTAATGTAAGTCAGTAACCAACAAAATGTATCTTACTAATACAAGATAACCTTAAAGGGGAATTGATTGTGAAATGCACACATGTTATTTCCCTTTTTTTCGTTTTTTCTTTTTCTTTTTTTGCCATCAAGAAACCACCTAAGCTGCAATCAACTCATGTCAGAAGACAAACAATGAAAGAAGAAATCAGTCAGTACAAAAACATGGCAGCACAACCCTCTCCTGGAAGTGCCATTTGTTGAACACAGCCTTACGCTGAAATAAAAGTTACAGAGAAATCATACCTGACAATTTCCTGTCAAAAACATCTGAACACAGATATGCAGAACAACTCGGGAATGTGAAGAACACAAACATTTCCTATATCATACGATTATCCCATGAGCCCCCACATTTGTTAGTTATCAAATGTTTTCATGTATGTAAACAATTGTTTCCCGCAGTATGCAACAAAAAGAAATCAGCATAAACCTTGTAAGAGCCATTCCATGCAGATTATGCTAACAGATAAGGCAGGGAAGTGCCAGTAAGCTGAGAGGTCTTTGTGTCTGTATATACAGTCGCTTTCAACAAAATACTACAGCATTTATTTTAAATTTACAGAAGTAAATATAAACTGCAAGTTATGGGTTGGGCTTTTTTGGCTAAGTATTAGCAGAAGCTTAAGCAAATCAGTGGCTAATTTCATAAACAGAAGCAGAAAGAAGTTTTTTGCTTTTTTTTTTTCCTGGAGTAATTCTTGAGACCTTAAAATTCTTGGTCCTTAGGGAGATGAGAACTGTCCTTTATTCAGTAGATCTTAACAGTGCAATGTGCAATAATTCCTAAGACCATCTACAAATTTTCGGCAGCAGACTCCAGTAGAGCTCCTTGATTCAAGGAAGGAAGGAAGGTAGGTAGGTTTTTATTTCTTGCCTGCTCTAGTCACGAAGAACGTAAAAAATTCCCTTAATATTTATTAATGATTCCTACAGTTGCTGTCTTGTTTACTTCAGAAATAAAGGCTTCATATTGAGACACTGAAGGACACTTTTCTCTCTGTGTTGAAAGGCAGAAAGGTAGAAAGAGAAAAGAACATAAGAAAGGCTTAAGCGCAGAAGTATAAAATACAGAGTTAAGTCACTAACAGCACTAACAGCACGCATCAAGGATGTTCTGATCACATCAAAAGGAGGACAGAATGCCAAAGACAAGCTTTACCAAAAGGCCGTTTTCTTATATGATGGAAAACTTGGCAAAACGAAATTGTTTTAACTGCTCTTTTAGATTTACCTGTCCCTTTCTAAGAACTGACTTCAGTATTAGTGCTTCGTTTGCCTTCGCTGTACTTTCTCCTTCAAGAGAAATTTGAAAACTAAAAATAAATGGCATTTTTACAGGCAAAAGAAAGGCTCAGTGGGATGCAGTCCCCTACTTCCACAGGCAAAATAACTGCACTAAAACAACACGTTCTGGCTTAACTAACAAGCAAGATAAAGCCAGTTAAGCAAGCAGTATTTACATCTGGTTAATGCTGTGCGCTTGTTCTTACACGTAATGCTGTTAGTTTGTTGTAAATGAAATTAATCTCATTTACATTTTGGGCAGAAAACTCACCACTTGGCCCACATCTCATGTAGTGGGTAATAGAGTTAGGAGCTTTGTTGCTCCCTAGACCTGCATTTTGAATTTCTGCTTTCTGGGATAGCTTCCACATCTGCAGAGAAAAGCATTTCATATTATTCATCACATTGATCAGGACAAGAAAAAACCCTCATGCATACATACATTCTACTTATTAGTAGAGCAAAAGGATATAAAAACATTTGGAGTTTTTGGAGAGAACAGAGGAGAGGGACAGAAGAAACTCACGAAGCGCCTACTCAGTGACAGTTCATCTTAGCATTCAGAATAATAAGGTACAGTTTTCAAAGCCACAATCTTTTTAATCAACTTTTATATAAACTAAACCTGTAACTCTGCCTGTATGATGAGAAAACAATATCATCTTTTATCAGGGCTGACAACCTCATCGAGAACTTCACTCATCTTTTCCTTTTTGTTTTTTCTTCGGCCTGGTACACATTTACAGAAACGTTCACATTTAATCCTGCTAAGCAGGAAATTATCTTTGCATGCAACAGCTTGAACGTGCAAAATGCAGTATCTTAGTTTGCTATTCTCTCAAAGCAAAGCATCAAGCAAACGCTTAACGGCAAGCAAATCATCGAACCTGAACAACCACCCCTTTTTTGGCTGGCAGCCACCTCTTAGTGTCTACAATGACCATGCAGAGTTCTACCATCCTATTTTTAAAGGCAGCAGGGACAGGAAACGAGCAAGTGCACTGTGTGTTTGACAGTCAGCCACCCCGATGGCCAAGGAGCAGTAATGACTGCATCTGTAACCAATCTCACAGCTCCTTCTACTCCTGGAGCACAAACCAACACTGACATCCACGACACATGTACTGCTAGCATGTAAGGACCAAGAAGTGTTTATAAAAAGCTATATTAAGTTACATAGCAGTTCCTTTTATACATATGAACATTCATTTCCTTTCATAAACTAACAACTTTTATTACATATTTTTTCCAGAGACATTGCAAAATGCCCAGGAGCATGCTCTTCCTACTGCAGTGAGCCCAGTGGAGCAAGAACAGGAGCACAGTAACCATCATCTTCAGAACTGAGATTTAATTCATTACAAGGTTATGGAAGAATGCAAACCCTAGCTTGGGTAGGACAACATTTGTCAGAACTCCTTGTCTGTAAGGATACAGACACCAGCCAACTTCAGCTGCTCTGAAGCCTTTTGTCTTAGTGAAAGCAGCTGTTTCAGTGCTGCTCCCTCCTCTTCAGAATAATGCAAAACACAGGCCACAAAGCATTACGTATCAGGTATAAACGCTCACTATCAGACTGGTTTTGTATGTGAAAGTTTAGCGCTGTGGGAATAAACCAAGCAGTGCAAACTGAAATGCCCCACGGGCAGCGGCTGGAAAAATGCTTCTTTTGTTCCACTGAAAGCAAGCTTTAACTGCACTCCATGGGGGAAGAACCTTTAGAATTTCTCTTTAGACTGGCTTCCCTCATTACAATCACTCATTACAACTGGGGACTAGTGCTTGTGCAGGTAAGTTTCATAACAAGCAGGTATCTGAAGACAATACTGCTATTTTTCACTGTTGTGACAGTCTCACAAGGTAAGGCTTCCACACAAGAGCTAACAGCACATCTGAAACCTTACCAATTTCTCAAACAGTGACAACTGGATCTAAACAGAAGATCCTGCCTCTAGCTACCAACCTTGTTCTGATCATAAAAAAGCTTTGCTAAGAGGCACAACCTTGCAATCAGTTAAGAAGAACAGATACTGGAGACACAGAATGAGTTCACACAAAGTACTGGCAATGCTACAAAGATTTTCTCTAATTCCCCAAATAACTCCCAGCATATACTATGCACGTTGCTTCAGATAACACTGTTCTCAAAGCTAATTCAAACACAGCTCTGAATTAACAGAAATGAAGATGAGCGACGAGACTTAAGATCAGAACACAATGTCTAAGAGTGAAGACTAAGATGGGTATGAAATTAAGATTCTTCTTCAGATTTTAGGTTGTGTTGTTGTTATTTCTGTTTTGAAAGGTGAAACAATTTGAAGGCAAAATACAGCAATGATTAGCACAGCACACTGTGAGCAACAGTTAAATGAAAAAATCATCAGCCCAATAATAACAGATGCCTGCAAGCATGGTAAAAGGGGGCTACTTTATTTTTTGGAACAACAATTGTCTGCTCCACAGAATGTCTTTAACAAACACATTTATCCCCCTACTCCTTTTCCTCCGGGTCTGGATGCCCTCACGTGTGCAGAGGGAGCTGCCAGAAGTGGTTTGCAAACCACTCTATCACCTATGGAAGGTCATGGAGAACAGGAGAGGTGCTTGAAGACTGGAGGAAAGCCAGTGTCACCCCAGTCTTCAAAAAGGGCAAGGAGGTCACGCAAAGCTACAAGCCAGACAGCATCACTTCTGTCCCTGGGAAGTGATGGAACAACTTATTCTGAATTTCACCTCCAAAAAAGTGGAAGAAAGAAAGGTTATCAGGAATAGCCAACAAGGGTTCAGCAAAGGGAAATCATGCTTGATCAATCTGGTAGCCTTTGTCATGACCAGCTAGGTAGATGAGAGGAGGGCTGTGATCAGCAGCCCAGAGTCTGGTCAAAGGGAGTAGCTAGTGGTATTCCCCAGGGGTCAGTACTGGGTCTGGTCTTACTCAGTATCTTCATCAACAACCTGGATGAAGGGACAGTCCACCCTCAGCAAGACTGCTGATGATCTGAAGCTGAGAGGAAGCTGATCAGTGGCACCAGAAGGCTGTGCTGTCATTCAGCAAAACCTGGACAGGCAAGAGAACAGGAACCTGAGGGTCAACAAGGGCAAATGTCCTACATCCAGGGAGGAATAACCACACACATCATACAGGTTAGATATACATACAGGTTAGGGGATGACCTGCTGGAAAGGAGCACTGCACAGAAGGACCTGGGCGTCCTGGTGGACAGCAGGTTGGCCAAGAAGGCCAAGGGGACCCTGGGGTGCATTACAAAGAGCACTGGTCAAGGGACGTGATCTTCCCCCTCTACTCTGCCCTGGTGAAGCCACATTTAGAATACTGTGTTCACTTCTGGACTCCCCAGTTTAAAAAAGACAAATCTGCAGAGATTCCAGCAGAAGGCCACAAAAATCATCAGGGGCCTGAAGCATCTCTCCCTTATGAGGAAAGGGTGAGAGACCGAGGAGTGCTCTGTCTGGAGATAAGGCTAAGAGAGGATCTTATCAACACTGACAAACATGGAAAGGGCAGGTGTCAGGAGGATGAGGCCAGGCTCTTCTGGTGGTGCCCAGTGACAGAACAAGGGGAACAAGGCACAAACTGGAACACAGGAAGTTCTGCCTGAACATGAGAAAGAAATTCTGTACTTTGATGGTAAGAAAGCACTGGAACAGGCTGACCTGAGAGTGGCACAGTGTCCTTCCCTGGAGATAATCAAAACCTGCATGGACATTTTCCTGCAGCGTGCTGTAGGGAGCCTGCTTTAGCAGGAGCTTTGACTGGGGGATCTCCAGAGGTCCCTTCCAACCCCTGTGAGTCTGTAGAAGAGCTACCTGCACATTTTATTAACAATTCTCACGTATTAAATGGAGACTTTAGAGACCAACACATGGGATGTCTGCTGCTTTCTCTGAAGGAACTGTATTTCTGCATCACTTCTACTCCTCCTGACTTAAAACACTGAGGAATTTAAGTCCAGCTCCCACAGCAGCACCATGACTGGCACAAAACTGCTGACAAAATAAATTCGATTGGAAAAATCAGAATAGGTTATTCATTATTTTATGCATATATACGACTGTATATTTTTTATATATTTTACATATATTTATCATTACAAAGTTTCAAGAAGTGTCTTGAAACCATGGTTTATTGAGACATCACTTTTCAACCTTACTGTTTAGTTGTTTGTCAGGAACTTAATGAGTTATACACTTAAATTTGTAAGCAAGTTCTGAATTACTTGCCTTCTGCAGCACTAATATTTAACAGTTTTTGGTGCTCTGTGACACATCTTGTTTCTATTACATGAGTGTTACTTACATTAAGAAGAAAAAATGAATTTCCACCATAATCAATACAAGTTTATTACCGTACAACACATGGATTCTGAGATCAGTGTTATCTGATCGCTAGAGAAACAGCATCCTGTCCTGCACCACATTTGCACACCAGATGTGGAAAGACAACATATATGAATGGAAAGAGGTGGAAAGGCTCATTTTTTCATTGCAAGTGCTGCATGTTGTTCCATTGTTACCTCTTAACAAAGAATCATCATTTGAGGTTTAGAATTGTGAATGGTAATTCTAATTCCTTACTAAAATATTTAAACATTAATATGGAATGTGAATCATATCTTTGTGCAGGACAGTTACTGAGTTACTGGATTATAAGTTTTGTTTCTTGTGCACAGTGACACACAGGAGGCAGTAAGGAACTGAAATCTCTCTAAAAGCTTCTTCTCATTGCTATTTCTTTTTTAAAAAAAAAAAAACAAGGAAAAATGTATTTGTACTCCAAACACAGAGTCAACATGTTACTGACAAACTGGAAGCACAAGCAGAACTGAAAGGCACAGACTTTGTACTGACAGTGCTGTAGTTCACTGTGCCATTCCTGGCAGTGCAGCATGCAATTGCTTTAACATGCGTTCAGCTACGTACAGATAAAAAACAAAATATTTATAATGGACAACAAATAAAAATAGAGCTTGCATTATAAAGATTTTATAAAGCATGCAAAATATATACAGTGCAATTAATGTTTCATGCAAACCTGGATGAGGTTACAATTTTACATTCGAACACATGCTTGAGTACACTGCTCTCAGGAAAAAAAGAAAAAACAACCCACAGATCTAAATGAAGTTACTTTTTCATTGTAGTGAAATTCTCTCTAAAGCCAGTGGACATTCAGCAGAGCACCTATGTGTCCTACATAATTACATATTTAATAATGCAGTGTTCTTATCACACACAACCATACTCATACCACACGGTTTTATTATCCTCAGAAACAAGAAGCAGGGACTCTGCCTCGCTGGTGTTCACACAGCTGGTAGGAACAAATTCACTACTTAGTGCTGGCTGTGGGTCCCTATGAGCAGATTTCTGATTGGTAAAAGGCTGTTCCTGATTTTTTGGTACAAACACTGACAGGTTTGCCTGATCAGCTTTTGATGCAGACCTTGGAGGCAATCCACTTATATTACTAACTAATTCAGTGTTAAGGGATAAAAATGGCTGCACCACAGTAAAAGATCCTGTGTTCTCACTACCAGATAGACTGACTTTATCATTAACCATATTTGTGCTTAAGGAAGTTTTCTCACAAAAATTTGACCTTTCCATCCTTGAAGTCTTAGGCACATCAGAGTTGCATCCTAAATTACGTGCTTTAACTGTATTAGTTGCATTGCTTTGTGGAACACAATCTACTCTGTAAGCCACACAGTGAAAAAAATGAGAGGATAACTGGTGTGCTGAGTACTCACTAGATGTTGCTGGAGCACTTCTGTCAGCGGTGGATGTTGCTGGATCACTAGAAACAGGCTGCCTAACGTCCTTAGACAAAAAGTCATGAATGCTTGTCCTTCGAGTAGTTCCTTCTGCTGTAGAAATCACACTGCTCGCACGAGGTAAGGTAGCGTAAGGATTGCAATCCCTTGATTGTCGCTGTGATGCAGCTGTTTGCATCTTTTCTTTCACTGATTTGGCCTTCCCTTGAGTGCCCGATGTAAATTTTATTGGGGAGCTAGTGAAATAGGCATCTTCTGTTTTACGAAGGCTGGGCCTTACGAGTTGTTCTGGTTTAATGGATCGTCCATCTGAGAAATCAACTGGATTTTTTACGCTCAGTGACCTCACAATTCCACAACCAGCAGATGCCTTTCTCAGCTTTTCCTTCCCTGTCAGCTCAGATGACTCTGATAAACTTCTCATTACTTCATCTAAAAGATTCTCTTCACTCCCCGATTTCATCTGTCAAAAACATCAAACATATTGTAAATGCAGAATTTGTAATTTTTACTTTTTCTTAATTGATCTTTGAGGACATAGAACAATTCTGAAAGTGCTTCCAAATATAAAATCTTAGAACTGAAAGTGCTATTGTACACATGAGTTTTCTGCACAGTTACTTACAAGCAAGTTAAAAACGAGGCATCATGGCAATCACAGCTATTAGAATTAGCACCCATAGCACCAAACAGTGCAAAAGCCAAAAGCTGGGAACTTCAAGCTCATCTTCTCATCCACTTGCTGTCTGCACCTGACATCACTACTTTGCTAAGCAATTTCACATGATCTATCATTTTAACTTACACTGCTAACACGGAGCTAAAAGCTTACCACCTCCACATACTCAAATAACGAAGACAAGAATCTCAGAAAACAATACAGAGCATACAGAACTTTGGAGGCTGAATTTGGATGAGTTTCAAATAGACTTAAAGACTTCAGCATTTTTTTGAAACAGTAAAGGAAATAATTTGGAACAAATCTTTAAGATGCAAGCACTAAGAAAAGGCTCTCAAGAAGGCTAAAGGGAGAACTTCTGAGGACCCTTGCAGCCTGAGTTATTCTGTGATTCTATGAAATGGATTCCCTAATCCCTGAGCAGCAGTGGATTAGACTTGATGACTCAGGTGGTCTCTTAGTTCTATTTCCAGAACACTGTCTAACGTTTTAAACATATGAAAAACAAACAACAAACCTAACAACCACTACAAACAAACAAATCTTGCCAGAGAGATCACAGGTGCAACATCATTGTTAAGCAGGTACCAAAAAATCCAGGGATTTATTCCAAATTCAAGTCACAGACTACTCCAATTCAGATGTGAATCTGTACGTTTCCATTATAACTGTGTAACTAAAATAGATGGAGGTTGGTCCTTACCCTTGATAGGCCCTAGCCAGAGTAACTGCCTTGCCTTAGAGTCTAGAAGACTCCTAGGTTTCAGACAGATCTATGTGAGCAATGAAGGAATTAGAACAGCAGCAGAGACAAGAGTGATTCTGTGTTTCTAACAAACTGGCACTGATTTTAAATAACATCCTCTGCATCTTACTCCTAGATTTCAGAGAGCTCCAAGGCCGGGTGTTTTGCCCAGTGGTGTAAAGTTAGTAAGTAAACATGAAACCACCAAGATTCTCTCCTCAGGGACTGAAATAAAGTATCTCCTTTGCTGTTGATGCAAGACAATAGCTCCCACTGAAGACAAGAGCTGAACTGGAAGATAAACAGCAAGCTTTCTTTGTGCTTATGGTCTTCCAGCTAAATTCTAAGGAGTGCACCACACATCAGTGCACCAGATAATTGTGTGCAGTAGAGTTTGACTTTTTTTTTTTATCTGCCTCAGCATCCTAGAGTCAAGCAAAATACAGCAAGTACAGTGTATCAGGATACAGCCCACACTACAAAATGTAGGCATAACCAGAGTTTCCACAAAGTTCTAAAGCAATTCTACCGTGGTAAATATTCTATTAACTCTGTCAATTGGAGTAAATTATATGGTGTAATACATAGTTAAAATATGTTTTGAACTAACCTCACTTGAGGTACTTTTGTTGCTTTCTTCTAAGAACTGCTGCAGGGTAACAACCTCACTTCCAGGAGAATCAGTTTTGATCCATCTTCCACCACGATCCAGTGTCTCAGGTGTTCTTTGCTGAAGCACAGGACTAGACCTTGTATGACCTTTCAAATACTGAATAGGGCTGCTGCTGCTGCTTGACCAAGCATCGTGTTCATGTAGCATGCTGAATTCTCCGCTGCTGTGACTCTGAGGTCTGCTTTGATTGTTAACCACACCTGCTTTTGGGGTAAACAGTATTAAATATTCCATCACAAAATATACAAAAGCTGTTAAAACACTGTAACCTTACTCAAACCTGAACACTTTCACATTCGGTTCTCAGTAATTCCACTCAGAATACTGAAAAACATAGTTACCTGTATTGCTCAAATCAAATACAGAACAATCACTCCCCTGACTTACCTCTCATAGCTTTTTAAATGTGGCACAATAGCTTTTGAATTAAAAATCACCCTTCACTTGTGATCTGCACCTCTGTCTACATAATGCTGTTTTCTCAGAGACTAAAGATAGGCCTCTGTTCTTGCCTGTAAAGCACACATTTTAATTTACTACCAATGAGTTCTATGTTATACAGAGTATCAGAAATGGAATGGAAAGAAAATATTTTCTCCAACGTAGTTCAGAAACAACAGTTTTGGAATGCTACTTCTCCAGGATGGTGGTACATATGCCAAGTTTGCCTGCTTTGTGTTGCACACTATATAGCATCACAGCAGCAGTGAGCAGACAGTCGGATGCTACATGAAAAATAGCAGAGTAACTCCAATATCTGTTAAATAATATATGATTTTAATATAATTTGGGGAGAATATTTATTTTGCAAGATCATTAAATGGGTAAGATTTGGTTTGAAATAGTCTGAAACCTACATATTAGTATCACCACTTAAAAATCTATTAAAAGTATAAGTTCTATAAATACTTGAATCCTTTCCTGATTTGGGGAACAAGGGCTGATGTATGAACATACCTACAGAAAAGCATGCTGCGTTGCTGCTTTTGTTTTAGCTTTGTTTTCAATTCAAGCAAAAATTCCTACAGGGAAAATAATGGCAATAAAGCACGTATGTAAATTCGCCTACAGCATACCTTTGACTTCATGGAGTGAAGCATTGTTATTGCTATTACTAGTGGATGTTCTGCCACTATCAAGGCTGGCTGGTCTGGAAGCTAATTGGAAAATGAGGAGACAGCATGATGAACAAAATTTTAGCAGATGACAGGGTACCTTTACATTCTGATCACAGAATGCTCTGAGGCAGGAATCATGCACTTCACAGGCTTAGCATGCCCACTGTTAACAAATTGGTTTCTTACAGATCAGAAAGCGAAGGGATTTCCGGGCAGTCCAAGAGGACGCTTTAGAAAAGGGCACTACAGGAATAGCAAGGGACAAAGGAGAGGAAGAGAGAAACAGAGTGCATGTTTAGAAGTGGAACAGAGCGGTGAGTGGGAAAGCAGGACTGTAAGGTGAAAGGAGTGGCATGCAGGAAGTTGCTCGTGATTAGGTCACTTACAACAGATCTGACAGGGAACCTTGCACATTGCTGAAATGCCACGAACAGGAGGAGCAAGAGCATCTGCACAGTTAATGTCCTGTACTCCTATCCAATACAAGGGAAACGCACTGTTATTTTGTTAGCTTCCAACAAGTTCACACTAATTTTAAGTACTTTCAGAAGAGTTACAATCTCCCCTTCTAAATAATTTCTCACAGCTCTCAATTCATGCCTTTGCTTGAAGAAACCTACAATGATTCTTTATCAGATATGTACACAGCACATTTACATCTCACTATACACGAAATATTGGCAAATCTGACCAGATTTGGATTTGCTTTTTTTTTTGTTTGTGGGATTTTTTTGTTCATTTGTGATTTTTCTTGTTTGGCTGGTTGTTGTTTTGTGTTTTTTTTTTCTTAGGATTGAGATTATAACAGCTGCTTTTATTTTGCAAAACTCCAAATACAATTTTTAAAGGCAAAAAATTTTGATCCTGTTCAGATGCACTTCATACTTTCTAGTAGAGATAGAGAATATTTTATCTGGTAGTGTTTGAAGAAAAGGATAATCAGAAGAAACAATACTGATGCTATGCATTCAAGAGGTATGCAAATCACAGAAAGCATGCTCACTTGTAACCGTGCCATTCACTGTTTTGGGGCTGGGGTTTTGTGGTTTTTTTTTTTTTTCCAAACATTGTTAACACTCACATAATACATCCATAAGCAATTCAATTAAAATTTACATCTTACCATGAACTCTTGATCCTGTACTAGAATCATCACTAATACCTTGTGGACTTACATCTTCAAACGACATAGCATCTAAACACAGAGACAAAAGAAGATGTGAAATGAAGTGAAGATCATAGATTCACTTATCTGTAAGATACAGTAATCATTTTCAAATCAATCCACTTTTACTTATGTAACATTCTGTATGCACAATCCTGACATTTTCTAGTTACAGTTATTAAAGCTATTCACCTCATCACCATAACTCAATTACTCAGGTTGCTTTTTGCTGAAAAAAAATATATAAATACAAAAAAATATATACATGAAATTGCTGTCACACACAGACACATCATGGTGCAAAGAGCTTCTACCTATACCTTTATTATTTAGCAACTGCTTGGATCTGAAGCCTGCAGAAGAGTTGACAGTTGCAAAGTTGATAGCTGTAGTAGAGAAGGCCATAGCTCCCAATTCTTTCCTCCTTTTACCCGCAGATATATCATCAGGACCCTCCAGATGCTCAGAACTACCTGTCCACTGTCCTCCTGCTAGGACCATGGACTGCACCAGGTCATTCATGGCTGGGATGCAAATGAAAGCAAATGATCAGCATGGTCAATGTATTTGCTTTTGTTCTCATTTTATACTGCAAAACGTTTGACAGTTCTCTAAGCATTAAAGTGCATTGAATACCAGAAGGTACAAACACGAGATCATCCATGTTATGACATGCAATCAGCTCAACGAATGAGAAGTACTGAAAGTCAAGAGACTTCTCTGAACTCTGTATGGCTCTTAAATCTGATTTTATTAGCTATAATCGCCATGCTTGTGCTGCAGTGATGTGTAATATATATGTTAGAAGCTTTGATATGCTGCTTGCAATGATAAAATGGAATGAATAATAAACGGGCAAGGTGCTGACACAATATAATGCCAACAGTGACACAGGATCCTCGTACAGTGCAGGATACTGCAGGCAAACTGTACTTCACATAATAAAAGGATCTGAAAACGATGACTTCTGATGACATTCACCTTTACTTGGCAAAGACACAGAAACTTGTCCACTCCTCATGAAAAAGGAAAATAAATCAATACAAAATTTTGGCAACAAGTGATGAATACTTGAAGAGTGACAGACCACCATACAACCTTGCACTACTTTTTCTATACTCACTTTAAACAAAAAATTGCAGCGATTTCTTAATAAAAGGCTTACGAAACGTGTAATTTAGAACTGCTTATGCTTACACAGTGCACTGTAGATTTATATACACATGCAGACATGTGTATATAGACAAATGTGTATACAAGTATATGTAATTGCGATGCACTGAATATATATATATGCGTGTGCATGTCAATGTGTTGTGTGCACATGTGGACATATATAAGGTATTCAGTGCTCAGGTTGAAAAAAAGGAAAGAGAAAAGGCTCCAGCTCCTTGTATAGTAGCAGGACTTGCACACTGCAAAACAGGAGGAAAAATACAGCGCAGTCCAGGGAGAGGTTAGTGAAAAATTAGTAATGGAAGCCAGTGTAGCCATTTAAAGAAGCTGAACTGTCATAAAGTCTTACACATGGAGCGACGATAGAAGGCCTTCATTTTGTCTTTTTCCTTCGGTCTGTTCCTCAAAAAGGGCAGTCTTTTCAGTGCAACCACTTTTATGTCATAGCATGAGGAAAAACGGAAACAGGGAAATGAAAGAAAAAAAAGGGAGAAGAACAGATGGAAGTTAAATGCTGAAACTAAGGACAGAAATGAATGTCTGAGTTTAAGCTATGCTATGCTACAAACATCACTCTCATGCTTCTGTGTGATAATGAAATATGAAAGCTACACCAAAATATGGAAACTGCACTATGAAAACCTTAATATATGCAGAAATGCACCAAAAACAATGGTGAAGAATGTATCACAGTCTGAAAGCTCTAACTGCCACCTCCTGGAAAACTACATGGAACGTCTTCAGAGATGGCTATAAAAACTGATAATTACACTTTTTCTTTTAAATGTGAAAAACACATTTATTAAACGTAAACAAAAACATGAAGCAGAAAGCTTTAAATGGGAGTAATTAAGTACAGTGCCTACTTTGACACATGTTCTGATCATTATCTTTTGAAAACGATAACTTCTGTAACTTTTGCCCAATGTCTACAGAACAAAACAATCTTTACTAATATTTCTTGCTCACCAATAATTTTGACTACATTCTAGAAATATTAGTGGACCTTATATTCAAGCAGCTACATTTATATGTGGAGTGATGTTAATACTTTACTGAATTGTCTGTAAATTAAGATGAATCTGTAGTTAGAAAAATTAAATCAATATTTACTGGCTGGAACAGTAAATACTGAATCTTTTGGCCAGAAAAACCCCAAAGATTCAAAAAATAAATAAAATAGCAGAAGAAAATACAGATGTGAGCATTGCTGTGGTATTTCAAGATAACATACTACATACCAGGAAACAGAGTTAAAATTACAAACGGTATTTAAAGATGGGGAGGGGGGAAGATGACTTATCCTTAGATTCAGCTATTGTCCATTAGTAACTGATTGCTATTCACTAATTACTTCACCTTGAAGCAGCAGATAAATGCGTCATCTAACTGCAAAGCATTCAGGAGCCACATGCAAACAACTAGATACAAAGATCCAGAAAGAAACATCATGGAATCACTGAACGTTCTTGCTTATGCAGATGTGAAAGCAGTGCAGAACATTCTGTCAACCCAAGATCTGCTTATTTTACCTCTCTAGAGAGGCTTTTGGAGGTGCATGCTTTGTCATTCAGCTTGTTTTTCTGCTAAGCCAGTAGCTTGTTATACATCCATTCTATTCTATATGTACACATATACATACTTCATATGTATTTTACATGTACATATATACATACACACTTACAAGTGCACGAGAACTAGCCTGAAACAGAAATAAATCTCTTTCTATTGTATTATTTTGTGTTTGCACTTAGAGCAGTGTGTCTACAGTGCTCTGTTGTCTTCAAACAGCACCCAGCAGCCCAAGTCACTGACCAGAGCAATTCTAACCCGGGTGGTATGTACATACAGGGTAAAAAGACTGGGGTATAAAGACTGTTTCTAACAAAAGGGAACAAATGTAAACTGAAGAAGCTACAGGGGACACAATGCAGCTAAGACCTGTTTATAATCCTTTCTACAGAATGCTTTAGATTATTTTACTTGCTGCTTCCTGCAATTGGTATCTTCTGTGAAGTCCTTTGCATATAAGTTCCTCGAAGCCTGCTTGTTTTGCCTGAAAGAAATGTCCTGCAAAAATTCTGGAACAGCAGGGCTACAGCGAAAGCAAATAGAAAAGTTCAGATGAGTCAGCTTTAGCTCCTTGCATATTTATTCCAAAAAACTCCAAAAAATTGGTGATGGTAGGAGGAATATCTTATTAATCCTCTCTATATACACTATAACTCTAGTTATAAGCATTCCATTTGCTTTCTCTTTTGAGATTCTGTGAACACAATCTTACTTCCTGAGTTGAAAATGAACACTGTAGAATTCTCCCACTCAATCTCAAAACCTTCCAGTTTGCCGTCCCACATTTGCCAGAAACACCATGGTGAGTTCTGTATGGACAATGTTACAGTCCCCAAGTTCTGTTCATGCATGCAGGAAGACCTTTGGGCAGACATCTTTAGTCAGCACGGGTTCACCAGGGGGAGGTCGTGCTTGACCAACCTGGTGGCCTTCTATGATGTTGTCTCTGGCTGGGTGCATGGGGGGAGAGCAGTGGATGTAGTCTACCTGGATTTCAGCAAGGCATTTGATACTGTCCCCCACGACATCCTTATAACAAAGCTGAGCAAGTGTGGGATAGATGAGTGGACAGTGAGGTGGGTTGAGAACTGGCTGACCGGCAGAGCGCAGAGGGTCGTTGCTGGCGGTGCAGAGTCCGGTTGGAGGCCTGTGAGCTGCGGTGTTCCTCAGGGGTCTGTGCTGGGTCCGGTCTTGTTCAACATCTTCATCAATGACCTTGATGAGGGGATGGTGGCCACCCTCAGCAAGTTTGCTGATGATACGAAGTTGGGAGGATTGGCTGACAGCCTGAAGGCCGTGATGCCATTCAGCGAGACCTGGACAGGCTGGAGAGCTGGGCAGAAAAGACTGAGAGGAGACCTGATCCAGGTCTATAAGAATCTAAGGTGTGGGGGGCAGAATGGCGAGGCCGGACTCTTTTCAGTGGTGAATGGAGACAAGACAAGGGGAAACGGCCGGAAACTGCAGCATAGGAAGTTCTGCACCAATGTGCGAAGGAACTTCTGTACAGTGAGGTGATGGAGCACTGGAACAGGCTGCCCAGGGAGGTGGTGGAGTCTCCTGCTCTGGAGATGTTCAAGACCTGCCTGGATGCCGACCTGTGCGACCTGCTGTAGGGAACCTGCTTTGGCAGGGGGTTGGACTCGATGATCTCTGGAGGTCCCTTCCAACCCCTACAATTCCGTGATTCTGTGATCTTCAAAATGGAGCATGATTTATTCCTGGTACCTCCATGATAGTAATACATCCGCTACTGGGACTACTGTTTAAAGATGTAATTGATCTGTGCTACTCTCCAGACTCAACCACTGAGTACAGATGTGAGAAGTGAAGGCCTCTGAAACCAAACAAGGGATTCAGGCTCTCTGAGAGCAGACAGAAATCATCCCAGCTGTTGCTTTCATTTTCAATCAGAGGCAGTAGCAGAATAATTCATTTTGGAATTACTGTCTCCGTTTCTCCGGCAGGATATGGAAGCCCACAGGTCTCAAGGATCGCTGGAGGACACTGTATGCAAAACCCTCTGAGAGCATCCCTGATTTGTACCAATGATGGCAATTCGGGGAACAGAAATCACCTTCTCTCACCTTCTGAAGGACACTTGGGAGGGTTTTTCATTTTCATGGGATCACCTCCTTTTACAAACATAGGGGAGATCAGTGGGGCTGGGGACAGGACAAGTTCTGTTCCACAAATGGCCTTCCATTGTCCTGGAAAGCTACAACACCACATATAGACAGAAGACAGAGATTTTTTCTCCTGTATTTTCTTTTAGTGGAGGCCAATACTGCAGAGTCACTTATTTGAGAATAGCAGAGAGATGTAAAAGTTATTTTGGTAGGCTGCAAAACGTGCACCACTACTGGTGCTTCTCACTGGCACATTCTGATCTTAGTTTTGTGCATCTCAGTAAGATTGTCAGCACTGAGCTGGCAAACAATTTATTCAAATTCTATCAAAAACTATGGATGCCATGTATAATAATGGAGGAAAGACAGGATTCAGAATTAGATCAGTCCTTCCAGTTTGTGGATAAATACACTGCAATTAGAAGGAACATGAATAAGATCCATGGACAGAAAACTAATGAGATCTGAACAATTTCAAATCTCTTTTAAGGATCAGCCACCCTAGTTTCAACCTTGGCTTCATGAGGAGTGTAGCAGCAGCATGCTAACACCACAAGGTCCCAAGTGTGAACACGAAAATGCACACAGAAGAGCCCTTCCAGAACACAGAATTACTGTGCACCCACTCTGAACCAAAGCATGCACACTTGATTCAACCACATGTGTAAACACATCCACTGTAGCTTCACTCAGTCCTGAACTCTGTAAGACTTTGAGCTTGCATTCCAAAATACACTTTTTCAAATTTCAGATACCTGTTTTGAAGCTTTAGAAACTCTTACGTTGAGAAATCTGAACTCCCCAAATTGTCAATTTAGCAACCAAAGCAATGAAGCCTACCCTCAAATTCAGTATTTTACTGTTTTTAAAAAATGATGTAGCCAACTGAAAACAACCATGAAACAGTGCTTGTAGAGCTTTCAACTTCAGCTAAGTTTATGTAGTAAGCTCAGAAAAAAATCTCTATGGCAATTTCAATTATTTTGAACACAGGAAATTCATAGCTGGCATGAAAGTAGAATATCCATCTGATGTATTTTGAAACCCAAGACAAAGAACTTTTTTTAAAAATTAAAAATGATTGTTACTAAACATGTATTCTAATGTTTTTAAATGTACAGCCAAAAATGCTTTCGAGGTCTAATTATTAAATACAATCACTGCAACTTGAAAACCTGTCTGTAATGTTATCTCTGAAGAAATTGGACAGTTTGTGATTGATGCCATTAGTGGATGACAAAAGATACTGATATATCAGACGCAGAACCTGGTCGTTTATATGGTGGTCATCCTAAAGCAGTGGGTGTCAAGCTCTTTCAATGTGAGCAAACCTGAAACATTTGATCCTCCCACACTTTTGTGATGCTCCTCAGCTTCCTTCTTTAGTCTTTTAATTTTAATCCTTCAGATGAGTAACAAGTGGTTTCGTTTTGTCGCTGCTGATTGCTTGTTAAAAAACAGTTATATCCCTATACAATGCTTCCCATTGCATATTCAAATGTCAGAAGTCTTCACCATTGATTCTGTGAGATGCTGGAGGAACATCTCCAAACAGAAGATCTACTTAGCAACTGCAGGTTAGCACAGCCACAGCTTGCAAAGCACTCACAAAGATGAGGGGAAGGATTCATGCGAGGACAAAAGCGAGAAACAAAACATGGTCCTGTGATGTTATCTAACATTATACCTGACATTCTGCTTTCCTGACCCAATAACAATATTCACTTAATCTCTCATCTCAACATCTTTCACTTAGAGCTACAGAAATGCTAAAAACTACTACCTGCCCACTAAAAAGATCTGCGTGAAATCTGTAAAAAAAATAATTTAACTAATGAAAAAATTCAGACTCACTTCCTAAAGACTCTATGAATTATCTGTAAAAAAAAAAAAAAAATCCTCTATAATACAGAGGTTTAAACTGACAACATCTTTATTTTTAAATGCATTAAAGAGATGTTTCGTAGTAGTAGTAGTACTCACTAGTACTCTTCTTGGTTCCCAGGACTTGTCCATCTTCAATAGAGTTTGAGCCCACTGAGGAGCTATCCTGACTGTCCTGGTGGGGCAGCTGAAGAAATCCTTCACTGGATTCTGAACGGGTAGGTGTAGGGGTTGCAGACTTCTGACGTTCTCGATTAACATCCTTCTTGGATTTCATCAGTTTCCTCATCTTCAGTGTAATCCAGTTGCCCCTTCTGTTACCAGGAATACAATACATTTATTTGTATTTGTAATTATTACTTAGGTCTTCATACTTGTCCTATGTATGAAAGAATACAGACGTGATTCTGTTCCTCTGAAGTTTAAAGAAATCTCTCATCTTTCAGTTGGAACAGAATAGATATCTACAACAGAATTGTGTTGTAGATATCTATTTTATACCATATGGATCACTACCTTCTGGGTGGAGATGGCTCATAAAATTTATATTGATCCATTATCTTCTCCTCCAGTTTCTCCTTCTGTCGCCTTAATTCATTTAGCTTGTCACTGTGAACAGAAATTAATGATAACGTATGCTTGGAAAATGAGCATTTAATGAATACATAGCACACAAGTAGCATGTTCCTCTGGACATCAGTTATCTGAGAGCTGACAGTTTTGTGGGAAATTCTTATCTGACACTTGTTTCTTATTAAAAAAAATATCAAGACAGTGACATGAAGAAAACAAGCAGCCTTCACTATGATAAGGACATCAGCCTTTCGTAATGCACACAACCTCTGCCCCCAAAAGGTGTATGTAGGTCATACCAGGATCATTTACACAAGTTTATTTTCTCTTCTATCCAATTCACTGAACAGGCTGCAGTTTGCAAACAAGTCTGGGATCTTTGAATGAGGAATGAAGGACATTTTAATTAGACATTTTTATCACTAATAACAAAAGCAGTCGCACTCATCTTTTACAGTTAAAAACAAGTGTTCTTAGTTTTAATCAGCTACTGTCCATATTTGACTTTTTTGTTTTTTACAAGAGAAAAACATGCTACTTATGATATGTTCATTTCTGTACACAACAAAATGGGTATTTAAAAAAATGTAACTGCTCTTATCACAGTAATTTCACTGTTTTCAAAACTCACATGTACTGCCTTTGCTCTACATGGAAGAGATCCTTGCTTTCCATATTCTGCTCAAGTAATGTTCTATTCTGTAGCATTAATGTCTGAATTTGATCTAGTAGATGTTTGTTTTCCTCCTCCATATTTCCTTTAAGCTGGCTAAGCAGCTGTTAAAATAAATGGAAATTTATGTGCATACATATACGAACCTACTTTATACACAGATGAGATTATCAAGAAACAGAGGTCTACAATTATTTATTTCAACAGTCAAATCAAACAAAACTAGATCATGATACAACTGATAAGAGCTTTAAGTTTCAATTAATACAGTTTACCTAGCAGGAGCCCATTTTTTTGACTGCTTGTACAGCAGGCAAATTCACTTCCCTTCAGACCCATTTCATTATCTATAAACAAGCCATCAGTTCTCAGGCACCTCATTTCATTTTATGATTTTATACGTAATGTTACAGTGATATTGGTCTTAAAAATATAGTAATTTTTACATACCTCACATTGGTTAGTTATTTTTGTACATTTAATATCCAGCAGTTGGTACTCCTCTCGGAGTTTAGAGAAGTCAGCTTCTAATTGTGTTTGTCCCAGCTTGGAACTGTTCAGTAAAGTCTTCAAATTCTTATGATCAGTTTGCAGAACTTCATTCTCTTTCAAGAGTTGATCGTGTGTATGAGCAAGCCTGGAATTAAAAGATAACAGGACTGTACATGCAATTTTGATATCAGGCAATGTATTTGCAACTCAAGCTCCCTCGAAACACTGAGCTTCCATGGCTTGATGCTGCTCTCTCAGAATAGGTATAAAGTTCCCTTAGTAGTTCTCTCTAAATCTGATTTCCCACAGATATGTGTTGTGCAGACCTTCACTGCCCACATCATTACATTTCTACCCCTATCAGCAGCAACCTGTCATCCCGCCCCTTGAGGAACTCACTGTGGGTTGCTCTCTCTACAGTCCACATCCACACTGCACAGCACTTTGTCTGGCATTCTTGTGCTGCAAAGTGAAATTCAGTTTAGTCAGGATAAATGATATTCTTTGTGCATATTTTTTTTTCCCCCTGTTCAGCCTTCCTATTACAGAGCAGCTTCTATAAGGCATGGATCATTTATGTTCTGGTCCATGGCATCAGGTGTTAAGAAACATGAGTGGATGCAATACTTGTTTAGACCATGCTGGTCAGCACTCAGGGCTCCACCAGCACACACACCAGACTTCTGCTTTACCTTGCATTTTCATCACGAAGTTTCTTATACTCTGCTGCCACAGTCTCATGTTCTTTGTTTTGCTGCAGAATTTTCTCCTGTTCTGTTTTGAGCACTTTCTCCAATTCTTCCAGCTGCGCTTTCTGTGTAAGCAACTGATTGTACCTGCAAAGAAAAATCATATTCAACTTTCTTTTCTACAGAATAAGAAGAAAAAAATGGAAATTTTCTTGAAAGGATGATTTTTCAAATTCTGAATATCTTATACCTTTGAGTAAAGAAAATTTTACTCATACTAAGTACACAGCACTATTTGCTTAGAAAAAAGCCTTCTATTTTTAACATGCACGTCAGTATTTACCTATCTTCCAAGTCCTTATGCTCCACCTCCAGATTTTTGTGTGCAGATTTAAGACTTCCATGTTTAGCAATCAGTGACTCATACTCAGAAGCTTGGCGTTCATGTAGGTGCTCCAGTTTTTCGTGGTCTTTGAGAAGTGAATCGTACAGTGACTTCAGATCTTCCAGCTCTTTGAGCACACCTTCCTTCTCATTTTCTAAAGCAGACTGCTGAATCAACAGTTGTGCATTCTGATTCATTAGAGATGTACTTTGAGAATTAAGGGTAGAATTTTCAACCTGCAGTCATGAATATTTGACGAGAGAAGCAAATTAGTTTCACAGACTGAATCACGTTGTCTGAATCCCCCTATTAAAGGGTTTTTGAGTGTTTAACTTTGAGTGTTTTACTGCATCTGCCTGGTTACTCCATTACCTGACAACCTTTAACAAGAACACTTTTCTTCTTCTAATAACTCAAATCTGTACTCCCTTAAGAATATTTTGGATCATCAGTGATCCTCTACTCATGTAAATCCAATCTGTGACACTACTAATATGCAAGTTCCTTTTATTTTGGTGCAACTCTTCTTAAAAAAAGAACTCTTTCTAGTACAGAATCTCTATTGTTTCCACAAAACCTTGCTGTATCCATGTAGACTTCACAATCAGTCTTAAAACATTACCATCCATTTAGCAGAGAGAAAAGGAAGCTATCAAACTTGAAAGGACCTAGCCAGATTCTGTTTGACTGAGAAGCTGCCAGTTACTGTTCTTTTCCCATCACAGTAAATGGCAGCAGATGATCACCTTACGTGCATGTTGAAGCAGCTGACAGAAGGCACTCCTGTGGAAGACCATGCTTTAAAAACTCTGTCAGAACAGTATTAATGTCCGTTATACATTAAAGTATTCAACATAAGACAAAAATCTTTACTTTGCCTATAAAAAATTAACCTAATCTAATCCTTAGATGAATTAAAGAATTGAGGATACTTAACATACTTGTCACCTGAGCTGTAATATGCTCGTTTCCTACTCTTTCTTAATCAAAAACAAAAGCAAATAAACACATTCACTAACTGACTGCAACTTCTAATACCCTCAAGGTATCTGTTAAGGTTAAAAACAAAACCAAGAAAGTCTGTTGCTGCAGTACATGCTATTACTGAGGAGCAAATCCCTTTCTGTTGGAACAGAAGCACTCTTTGCTGCAGATGACAAAGCTGAACCTTGACTGGAAATGAAGTAACATCTGGCAGCACGTACATGCTGCAAAACTTCACAGACTGAATTCAAAGTTTGATTTGGTTCAGAATTCCCAGTTATTCTTTACTGTGTCATTTTTCTGATATGTTCTTTAGGGTTAACAGGAGGAATACTGGATTTACAGTTGCTTAAGAACAGCTTCAATGGAGTCAACATAGATCAGGCTAGTTTGCATTTCTGGTTAATAGTTACTTTAATTTTGTTGAGCATATTTCAGCTTTCATTCTGATTTAGATTTACTTGCTCTCCAACAGATACGAGAAAAACAGCTGAATTCTCAAGGAAGAGGTGAACTCCCTTTCTCGAGCTGGGTGTGACATTCTCCTGTCATTTCCAGCTATTAACATCACATTGCTTAGTGAAGCTCACAGCAACAACTACGCTGAAAGCGAAAAATACTTCTTCCAACTCATTATCACAGTACTTGAACTTATCTACAGTTATTACCCTTACTTGTCAGATAGGAAAGGCTTGTGGTGATGTTCCTTCATGCAACAAAAAGGAACTGTGTAAGATATTCTTGTTATTTTGACAAATGTTATTACAAAATAGCAACAGCCCTGAATCCCAGATGTACACCCCTACTTGTCTGAAATGCAAGATATTCCCACGCCCGTGCCCACTGATAGTTTAAAATCTAGATGAGACACACCGTGTGCACAAATACTCTGTTTTGTACACAGGCTGGCCTGCCACAAAGGGGAGCACTGTGCACTCACTAGATTTCTGTGTGGTAGATGGAAAGTGCATCTGTGGTACAACAGCAGAAGGCAGAATGATGACTGAAGGCATTCACAAAGTGCATTAATTTTTCTTCGTTATTTTATTCACTCACATAAGGATTCCTTCACTCACTGACTTCTGCCCACCTTTCATCATTTTTTCACATCTATTTGTGCTGCACTTCTCAGTTTGTATTAATTTTCCCATCAAGTAGTTTTGATTTATAGAGCTCCAAAATCCAATCCGTAAAGAAGTGTATTTTATTTATCAGAGGAAAAAACCCAAGCATGTATTTAATAACTAACACCTTGCTTTTTCTTTTAGGCATGATTTTTTATTTACTTATTTTAAACTCCAGCTATAAAAATAGAATGACTTCTTAGTCTCTGTGGATGTACCAACTGCTTCCCTGACCTAATTTAGAATTAAAAAAGAAATAATAATAATAGACAGAAGAAGAGAATCGACTCTATTCCCAGTTAGAAAGACACAAGTTTAAATAGGACAAACACAAGGGAATAGAAGCAACTTCCAGAAATTTTGTTCTTGATCATCAATCACTAAATCTCATTTGACTGTGCTTACTGCATGTTATTTCCACATTCCCTTCTCTTCCATACGCGCACCAGAAACAAAATGTGACTTACATCACTGTAGTTAGCTTTGAAAAAACCTCTCAATTACATTTGTTTTTAAAAAGAAAATAAGAAAGCATTACCTGAAGTTTGGCGTTTTGAGTCTGTAGAGTTGTATTCTGCTCCTGCAGAGAAACAGTCTGTCTCTGAAGTGCGAGAATCTGAGCCTGCAGATTGTTATTCTGTGTCTCAAGCTGCTTTAATTGTGTTTTCAGTGCTTGCTTCTCTGCTTGAAGTGTAGCATTCTTTGAACAACAACAAAAAGAAAATTTGAGTTCACAGGCTTTTATGGAACTTTAGAAACAACACTTCCTCCAAAGCAAATAAAGCAGCAAGATTTACACTCCTATGATCCTTTGTACTTCAGCTTCAGCAGCAAGATTGACAACATTCACAGATATTTACAGAGTGTAACAAAACTGTGTATCACCTTATATTACAGGAGTAACATACAGTGATATCACTACAGTTTAAGACTGAAATAATGGCTAACTAGTATTTTACCTACGGAGAAATGGTAAAGAACTCTCACTGATGTGTATACAAACACCATGTGAGTCATTTGTGAGATATCTGTAGATTCAAAAGGGAAAAATTCAGGTTTCCATTTTTTTCCTTTTAAATGCCTGTCAAGTGCTTTACAGCATCACAAGATCCAGCTGTAAATTAGGTGATAAATTGCACACTTCTTTAAGAATACCCTTATTCACATTACTGGAACAGCTTATGACAGCTATTTCAAATGAGAATAACAGAAAAAGCACATCTTACATTCCTTTCCACTTCAATTAATCTATCTTTAACTTTCAGTAATTCTCTAGTCGTTTCCTGGTTTTCTTTCTCCCACTTATTGACAGACTGATTTTCTTCTCCCTTTCTTGGAGGAGGATTCTGAACCATTCTTTCCTCTTCTTGTCTTTGTTTGAGAGCTTCATAGTTCTTTTTCACCTGAAATTATCCAGGACAATTTGCATTCAGTTTAGTAGTTTCCATTTTCTACACCATACAACGCCATATGACTGTACCACTTTCCACAGTACAAAAAATGCTCTATACTATTCCACCTGTAAATTTGCTTTCTTTATCTCTGATGAGATACTGTAAAAATGACATATGGATACTGATAGCTCAACCATAATAAACACTTAGACAGTATGACTGTGAACCAAAAGGAGACTTCATTTTATTCCAGTGCTCCCAATTGTGTCTCTCGACTTTTATAACAAAGTCCAACAATCAAGGAGACTATTTCTTTTTTTAACTAGCCATCAAGGCTCAAAGCAGATCAGGAAATGTAACTTGCTAAGAATTGACTGTTTTTGGCATCCCAAGTCAAACAGACTTCAGAACGTTTATCTACCTGACACATTCAATGATCACCAACTTCTTTTCATGTGATTTCAATTCTGGACCTCTATCACTCCCGTTTTAAAAAGCAATTACACCTTTGCCCTGCTTTATGCTACCCCAAGGTTACTCATCTTTTTTGCTGTCTTAAACTAAAATACCAAACAAAAAGCAGAAACAACAGTAGCTGGAATACGATTCATTTAACCTTATGCAACAAAACACATCCTTACTGTTTTAAGTTCCTGACGGAGTTGCTGGTTTAAATTTGTTGATTCTTCCAAACGAGCCTCCAAAGCAGCAATTTTCTCTTCTTTTATTTCAAGAGATTTCTTAAGAGTGGATTCCAATTTTGACTCCAAAAGTTTGTACCTTCAAAGGCATAGCACAAAGAAATGCTTTTCTTTCAACAATTATTTCAGGTTATCCAAATTTCACTCTGCTCTGAAGCTGTACGCCCGGGAGCTACATTCAAAAACATCCACGTGCTAACCCTAGTCAAAAGCATGAAGATGCCTTGGTGATAACATCAGCTCTCTAACAGAAATGGAAGGTAACAATCAAAACCATCTTTAAATCCTTCTTTTTCTCAAAACATATTAGATATACAAAAGAAATACTCAGCCACAACAGTAGGGTGCTGACTTTACAGGGAGAATTAAAGCGTGTGCTGACATCACCCTTCTTTCTGGCTCCACTCCAGCAAATGCAGCAGGGACTGCAACTAAATTCAAATGTGAAGTATTTGGAGAGCAAGATTTTCATCAATTTCCATTTCCTGCCTGCTCAAATAGAGGAGGCATTAGGGATGGAGAACAGTTCTTTGCAGGTGCATGCTCATTTGATGCATGAGTGTGTGAATTGCTCCCTCAGCCCAGCTGCTGCTATTTTAAGACTGTTACCACTCCTGACATATGAAGATTCCATTTTTTTTGCTGTATTTAAAATATTGCAGGGCACTTAAAGAAACAACCACGTTTTGGAGAGGAGGGACCAGATTTAGGATATATTGCTTTAGAATAGTATTTCCTGAGACTGTCAGTGCAGGATATTCTAATGCATTATTAGATCTTTCAGAATAGAGGATTTTAGAAGGCCACACTCCACTTTTCAACTGCTCTGTCACTGTACTTGTGTTCAGAATTTGGAAGGCATCCCACTTTTACCAGCTGTAGGATAAAATAGAAGCAGCCATAAATTCTTTCCTTCCTGATCTCAATTGCTGAAAAAAATCTGTCAGAGTAAAGAGAAGAGATTGCAAGAGACTCCTGAATTGACAACAGCATTAGATCCAATCAGGAACTGGAGCAGAAGACCAATGGTAAGAGAACTAATAAGTAGAAAGCTGTCCAAAAACATCACGTAGTAGGATGAGAATTCTAGATTCTGAGATACAAGGAATAGTTTTCAGGCAGTCTGTGAAAAGTAGAACAGACAGCACTTCTCCTTTGTGAGCTGAAGCATATATTCAGCTACCAATAAGTTCTGTTATTAGAAAGTTATACAGTTACTCCTTCTCCTTCTTCTTTTCGTGTAATAACAGACTCAATCTCCAGCATCCTTTTGAACACTGAACAACAAGAAATGGTACAAATTTCTGATCTCACTGCCATTTGGGTATTTCAGATTCAAGGTCTGAATCTACAAATGTTCACCTAAAGACAGCTGCCGTTTGAAAGGTAGGACAAAATGGCAAGGAATTCAAAGCTAATTTATCAGACGGGATCAGCTGAGCCCCAGATAGAAAAAAAAGAGATTTTCTCTAAATAAGGGGGAAAAAAAAAGTGTGTTTTCACTTTGCAAAGTAAAAGGCAGGACAGTTGTAAAGCACAATTTCCAATCAAACAAACTTTCCACATTTCAAACAAATATTTCTCATTCATGATCCTCCAAGCAGTTTTAAAAAGTTTTGAGATACTTCTCATTCATTCTTGAACAAGAAGTATCTGAAATGGGAAAGAATATGATTCTGTACAGGTGTTTTTGGAAGCTGTACTATGTGAAAGGGTTTAGGAATCTGCTTAAATAGACAAAGTTCTAAGGACTGCTCTTGACAGAACTTCTTATTTTGTGAGATGAGAGAAGATGATAAAGCACACCAGCAGAAAACAAGAGATGGCAATGGCTCTATGGCACCACCCCACTAAATCAGCTCTGGCATCAAGAAAAGGAAACCGAAGAATTGTCATTTGGTTTTCTTTCAATATAAAAGGCCCTAAACCAACCTATGTGTTCATGAGAACCACTGATAATAACAGATGATCATGACAACACCAGCTATTCCTCTCCCCTGCTTCTGCTGCTTTTGTTGTTGTTGTTTTTTAAGAAAAAAAATAGCACCATGAAGGAAAGACTGGAAAGACTGGCCAGAAGCCCACACTTGTCTGCTTTTCTTCTGTCACAAGTTTTCCCTAAATCCCTGCAGGATAAGACAGAACACAACGTACAATAGAGGAAACTGAAGCAGATATCAGGTAGCAGCTGCTTTATGCTTGCAGGCATGGAAAGCATTAGAAATATCTTAGTCCACATAGGAAGGGAAACAAGCAATCACTTTTTTGATAGATTTTACAAGAAAATAGCAGTAGGCAAAGACAGAATGTAAGCTAACCTGACAAAAGTGTTAATAACATTTCTACCAACCAGAAGGGGAAAATCTTAAGATGAGCATACCACATTTTACTGTCACTGTTTCCACTACCAATTAGAACATTGGCTGCTTTAATTACACATTAACCACATCTTCTGACATACTTCAAAAAATTTCTTAGTGGCAAAATTAGTAACTCATTGCCAAAGGCAGCCAAATACACCAACTAACTGATTCATACCAAAGCACAGCAAGCTCTATTTTGTGTGTGTTACCGTGCATTAAAATCTGAACACGTACAAAATGCAATCTATAAAGCCATTTTATCTTTATGAATAAGACAGACCCTCACTTCTGTACTGTTTTTGACTGGCAAGCCAATACCATTCTTACCTGTCATCACTACTCTGCTCATCACACAAGAGACGCTCCTTGTTCAAGCCTATTTTTTCAAGTTCATGGGAAAGTTTTTCTAGATCGTTATTCATTTGTTGGGTCTTCAGTTTTTCATTCACCAAGTCCTTACACAGAAAAAGTTAGTGTTATCATACAGATAAAATGTCTTAGCTTTCCCTATGGGACAAATCTTCTATTACCACAGTCCAAAATCTGTCTGTGCCATTATCTCCCTTTCTCCCACTTGTTAGCTTTTCATTGTATCAGACATTCCACTGCAACCAGAAGTAGGATTTCATTTTAGTTCCTTCACTCCCTTCCTTTCTAACTTGGTCTTGAACATCAGAATCAAGAGGTAATGCTGCAGCCCAAACAAACACTAAGATGAAGAATCTGAACGACATCCATTTAACAAAGGCTCTATAACTGTCAATAAGCACCCTTAAAGATTTCAGTGCAAATATGACTGCATTTATTATTATTATGCACCTCTGTCCCTACTGCAACCCCTAAAATAATGCTAGCAGTTTACAGATTGAAGCATTCTATTTTTTCCCCCGAAACAGAGATATTAGTTCTCTATGCTATAAGCAGACTACAAGAATGGTAACTACTTCCTATTTACCTCTCGTAAAGTGACAAGGGTTTTCTTATCAATGCTAGCTCTCTTCACAAGCTCTTTATTTTCCATTTCTAGCTCTTTCAGGCGTACACATGACTCCTTGTAGACAGCTATTTGTTTAAACAGAGACTTATTTTCCTTTTCCAGATGGCTAATTTTGGCATTGTTTTCTTCTAAAGTACTGTCTTTAATTTCTGCTTGTTGTCGAAGTCTTTTGTTTTCTTTCTCTAGCTGTTTCTTATCTTTTTCCAGTTGAGAAGTCTCCTGTTCTAACAACTTATTCTCTTTTTCCAGTTGCTCCAGGCGCTTACTGGAAATAACCAACTCTTCTAAGTTCTTCTGCAGAGTTTGATTTTCGGACTCTAAATCTTGTAATTCACTTTCTAATTGCTGAATTTTCTTATTGCTGTTCTCAAGGGCTTTCTGTAGCCTTTGGTTTTCTGTGTCTAGACCTTGGTAGCTGACTTCCAAGCGTTCATTTTTCTTGAACGATGCTTTCATGAGTTCAAGGCTTTTTTTAAGCTGCTCCTTTTCGTTCTCCAGCTCCTTATTTTCTAATTCCAACTGTGCCATTTTAATGCTTGCACACTTTGAAGATTCAATCCTTCTTCTCAACTCTAAGTTTTCTTCATCAAGTTGTGAGTTTTCCTTTTCTAAGGACTCCAGTTGAAACGAGAGGTTTTTCACACTATCCAAAGCTTTTTTCAGCTTTCTGTTTTCCACGTCCAGGTCCGAGTTCTCTTTTTCTAAGGCCTCTATCTTCTCACAAGTGATATTTAAGTTAGCAATTCTTTTCTGCAGCGCTTCATTTTCCTTCTCCAGACGATGCATCTCATTCTCAAGTTCTTCTGCTCTCTCTGCTTTCTCTTTATAGTGCTTCATTTCTTTCTGGACTTGTTTCATTTCAAATTCAAGTTTATTTAATTTACCACTGTTTTCCTTAATAGACTCGTGAAGAATTTTGTTTTCATTTTCAATTTCTTTCATTTGTGCTTCAGCACTGATTTGTGAGCGCTGTCTTAAGGAAGCTATGGTTTGATTTGAACATTCGTTTTCTTGTTCTAGGAGTTTAATCTAATTCAAGGGAAAAACAAACTTTAGTAAGCAACGTGTCAACAAATAATTATTCCCATACACACACTAAGATGCTAGGACTGCATCCTATGGCCTTTTTACAGTAGGATTTTAAATGATTCTTACTCTACTGCTTATTTCTTTGCAGCCTTACAGACGGTGCAAATGTACATGGGTGAGAGTTTGACAAAAAAGCTCCTCAAATATTTTCCTCTTGGATTTCAGACAATACAAAAATAAAGCACACAAAAAGCCACAAAAGCTGTGTTTTATTTCTTCACTTCATTTCCTTCTCATTTGTTTAACAAATCTAGTTTGTATTTTCCTTAAAATCTGTGATTTCCAGACAGCTTTTTGTAGACAAATATAAACAAAGTATAAAATTGCAGTTGAATTCTAAACCAAACTTGAGATGGAAAGAAATGGGACAGATATGTGAGTGTCTTTCTTTCCCTTGGAAAAAGCAGAACTGATCTTTGGGATATGAGGGCGTCCTCTTTACAGTCAAATCCCATTTTGGGAAGAAATATCAAAGCTACATTAATTTTTCAGTTAAAAAGAAACGTTACGACACGTTGCTCCAAAATGGCCTACAAAGAAAGTCACTGGTAAGATTCAATCATTTTCTTAAGGAACGTACTCTCAATTCTACTCCAAGAACAAGGATAGCTTTTATATCTCGATTTTTCTTCTTCCTCCCCATTTACTCTGTATCAACTTAACTTACTAACAGACTACAAGACCCAGAAAGCTATTTAGATCAATATTTAGAAATACACAGATCACATTCCATAAGGGATGTTTGAACAATAAACCATCTGTGAGAAATGCAAAGAAGTGCCAGCCACAATAAAAAACAGAGCCAATGATGTGTTCTTTCGTACACAAGTCTAAATACAACTATTAATTACAGGATCTACATTACTTCAAAGCAGAAATAGTCTCACAGAATTATCCGTCCCACTTCATCACCTGATGGTTATGAAGGGACTTAGGGCCTATTCCTGAAAGGTTCTGCATGCTCCAAATACAATGCACTGATCAGTTATTGTAACAAAACAAGATGACACCTTTGCTTTAAAATTATCCCCACTTATCTTAAATGAAAGTACAGGATCATGCCAAGCACAGTGGTTGGGATTTAGCTTCCACGTCTGGAATTTGATGTTTTGATTAAACAAGGGCTTTACAAGCTTACAGAACTTTTAGAGTATTCTGTACTCCAAAATACTGTACTCTGTAATTTTCAGTTAAACCCTAAAATATCAAATCTCACTAAGAACTAACAAAAGATAACCACAGGTCTAATTTTGAAGGACTTGATTACTAACAACGATTTCCAGAAGTCTCCATAGCTTGTCTCCTACTAGCTGCCTCCTACCAGCCTTCTGAACTGCTCACCAAAAACCTGCAGAAGTTCTGACAGTGCCTGCACCCATAAGATAACATGAGTACCCTTCCAAATGCAGCCCACGTCTTTTACTAAGGCACAGATTCCAATTTCTAGCAAGCAAAACAAGAAATTCTGCCATCATTTTTGAGCTGTGATTAGCTGGTAGTACTGATGCAAGGGATGTTTGGAATGCGGGGCAGGATCCATTGTATCCAGATAACTACAAAGGTAAGCGACAGCCTCAGCAGCAGAGCAGCTCAGATACAGGACCCTGCAAGCAGCAGCTGTACAGTTCTCAGTAGTACTCCAACACTACTCCAAACACTGACCAGCCACCTGAATCTTGTTTTTCTCCACTGAGAGGTGTTTGGTTTAACTCCAAAGTTACCAATTTCCTATTCTGGCTGAGCTACACCCTCTAATCAACCATGGCAAATACACAGCCCACGAAAACTCAACACTAAAAAGTCCCAAAATTAACAGTAAAGACTCAGCTAAAAACAAGTCGTGACTCTCACTGACTGCAGGTCTTAGACAAGTTAACTTGCTGCAAGTATTGCTACATCTACAACTCCTTTATGCCTATAGAGAAATAAAAAAAGAACAATACAATACAACGCATTAAGACCTTTAATTCTGTTACTCACCTGTTGTTCTAAGTTTCCTCGAAGTGTCTCAAATTTCTTTTCAAGTTGTACTTTTTCTTTCATCAAATCCTTAGTCAAGTTTTGATTGATCTGAAGACACTGTTTCTCTTGGATAATTTCCTTTTCCAGTCCCTCAATCTAGGAAAAAAAAAAAACTTAAAAAGTTAAGCCTTGCCTTTACTCTCATATAGATGAATAAGAAGAGTTAGAGTAACTTTCTGTTTTGTATGCAAAACAATTCATTTCAATTTATTCCTCAATGACTTCTGACAGACATTCTTTTATGTTAGCAGAGAAAACGACCTGTATGCTACTTTTTCATAAAAAGTGCTGGTAATATTATTAGGCTTTGGATATTTCCCCAAACACCCACTTTTATTTTTTTGAAAGTACAGTTTCTACTGCCCCTTCATCGCCTGTTCATCTCAGACTTCAGTAGAAATACTTTCAGAAACCAATTACCTGAATCACACCCCTACTTGCTGTTAAAAATAGTAAGGAATAAAACAATATCACAGGAGACCATGGAATAACAAATTCTGTTCTACAAAGCAATTCAGTGATTGGAAATATGCAACAAGTGTGACATCAATTAAATCAGAATTGAATTATACTTCTACTTTGGATGAGAACACTAACATTTGACCAGCCTTCTGTTCATTTTCCCTCTGAAATTAAGATAGTCCTGATCCCCAACTTAGCAGAGCAGTGCATGTTTTATGAGCATGTTGGCACTTTGCAACAGAGAGGTAACTGGCTCAGGCACCTCAGCAGGAACAGTCAGGTACCACCTGGAACCAAATTCACCCATAGCCTGCCCAGCTGTCTCAGCAGGTCTGTGCAAACTGGGCACCAAGAGTGGGGTTGATACAATCAGTCTACCTGAAAGCATGTCTAGATAGAAAGACTACGTATAAAATATCTGTAACAAATATTTTGTTCAGCTTTACTCATTTTTCTGAGGTCACTACAATTCACAGCAGTGTTCTTACAGTCAAGTGAGAGAAGAAGGACGTGCTGGCAGACATCAGAAGTGGTAAGAACTCTAGCAGACAACAAGGGATTCCTTTCTCATTCTTTTCCCCCAACTGTCTCTTACCTCTTCTCTCTCCAACACTAATCTCTCTAATGTCTGACATAGCTATTACAGAAACTTTTAGACATTTTGTTCCTCTGTACTTCGTCCCTATTTTTTTCAGTTTTTATTCCCTACAATAAGTCACTTGATATGTATCATTTGTAGAGTAAAATTTTGTAGATCAGCACAGATAAATCTGAGTAACTTCTCTCATTTCACTTGAGCAGTTCCTTGACTCATCATCTCTATTTTCTCAGTAATGATCAAGAATACATGATCAAGTTTTCTGCATATGTGAAGACAGGTTTCTCTCTCTATATACACACACTTCCCCCCGTGTAATAATTACACAATTAAAATAACTTTTATCAAGAATCATAAAACATTTTCATTACGTCCCAATATTAACACACTGATTTTCCTCCCTACTGTGACAAGAGCCTTCTGAATAAAATGATCCCATTTGGAAATTATTAATAAGAAAAAAAATATCTTTCCATCTCTCCTGTAAAACTGTCTTTCTTACCCTAAACTTAGAAGCACCATACCACTATTCAGACACTACCAATACTTACTTTTGCCAAAATCAGGGCAATGCTTATTATGCTATGCCTTAAAAAATAGCAAGTAAAATTAGGCAACTCATACACAACTCAAAACACACTGGTGACTACCTTTTTGTTCAGTCTTTGGTTTTCTTGCTCCATTTTCAGAATCCTTGAACTATTGCCTCCTACAGAATCATCCATTGTGCTCCGTAGCTCTTCCACTGTTTTCAGTAAGGCTTGGTTTTCCTTTTCCAATTTCAGTAATCTGCTTGATGTCAGTTCAGTTACCTCAAGACCAAGTGACTTATGTGACACTGTGACAGCAAAACACAATTAAAAAAAAAAGGGTGAAAAAAAGGTAATTTGTCATTACCTGGAGTCATTCAAGGACAGACTTGGCATTTTTAGATTTAGAAGCCTATGATTATTCTGCAGTGCCTCCTACTTGAATAGAGCATTAGTGACTCATTTTCCTTATTCAACACTACAGATGCAAACAATAAATGTCCTACATATTCTATAGTGCATAATCATGATAGAGATTTCCCCAAAATCTCCTCAAATCCTTGGTATGTGATCCAGCAACATGACCAAGCATTCTTATACCAGAAGAATCAATATTCTTGCTTCAAGAATTACTGTAATTACTGAGAAACCTTAGTAAATCTCTCCTAACTTTCAGAGTACCAAGGCAGAATACAGATGTTTGAATGCCAAAACCACTTAACTCCAAGGTATTTATGGGTTTTACCCTTTTAGCACATGGTTGCCTCTGCACAGATATAGAGGCCTGAGTTTAAAAAAGAAAAAAAAAAAAAAAGCAGCAATAACTAATCAGGATTAGGAGCTTTAATTTCTTAACAGTACTCTCCCTGCCAAGCCTTCATTTATCAACTCCTTTCCAGTTTGCAAATATTATTAAACTTACCTTCAGAATGATCAGTAAACCTGCTTATCTGCTCAAGTTCCCAGCCAAGATGTAGTGATTCATCCATACTTCGTTTCTGAGCCATTTCTAGAGCCATGTTTTCCTCCACAAGTTCCTCAATCTTCCTTCTGTCCATATCACGCTCCTTAAAAATTATTTCATGTCTAACTTTAGAAACAGTTACATCTCAACATGCACAAAATTACTGACTATCAAGTATGCAGCAGAGAAATGCAGGGTCCCTTTTCTGATTTGCTAACGCACAGTGAGACAGGGAGGAACAGACAAAACTAGGGAGGACACAGAACAGAAGTGTGGCAAACAGCAAAGACAAATATAATGCCTCTTCTCAAGTGACAAATACATTTTCTTTTCTCAACATATCCTACGGCCACAACTCAATTTATTGTTTTCCAAAATTCACTTCTCTCAGAATATCAGGAAAGGAAGCACATGCGACAAGCACAGCTTGTGCGCTCACAACAAACAGAGGATCAGAATTTGTTTCTCTACTATAAGACCACTTCCATGCAAAAAGCTGTAACAGGAGTGGGTCCACAGTGAAAGAGTCTCAACAGCCTTTGCACGTCCCCCTCTCAGCACATTCTACTCTTGTAGGAAAATAAAGTGCAGCTATAACTCACTGTCAATTTCTGAAAATTTTCAGATTAGAAGGTAAACTCCTGCTCCTCAATGAAAACTGAAAGCAAACCAAATAAACCTGCAAAACGGGCAAATTATGATTTTATACTTTGCAGTATTTACTTTTGAGGGAAGAAATGGTTAAAAACAAAAATTATTTTGACAAAAACCTTCTGGAAAATATGTCACTTTCTTATTCTAGAAGTGGAAACATGAACCATGTACTGATCTAAGTACTTAAGAGACAAAAAAATACCGTATCATCCAAAAAACATTTATCCTATCCTCTTACTAACGAGTCTCATCAGCATAACTTAAGCCGATTAAACATTTTGGAAGAGTATTGCTCTTTGCAATTTTTATTTCCCCAAGCAGAATCAAGACTACTGTAGCAAAGCCCATCAGAAAAAGATCAGTAAATCAAGACATACCTTACTTTTCTCCCACACCGTTCTGACAGGAAGGTCTTCTATTAAAAGTACAGATAGAACTCTAAGATTTTTAGTAGGTTTTTTCGTCATCCATTTACACTTACCAACTCCATTTCATGTAGTTTAGCTTTTAATTGGAGATTCTCTTTTTCTACCACGTGTAATTTATCAGAACGGAACTGCAATGTCTTGATTTGATCCTCAAACATTCTCTTTGTTTCTAGCATCACTTGGTTGTCTTCCATTAACTCCTACAAAGGCAAGAGAAACAAACAGGATAAAATTTACTGTGCTATTAATACAACTTTGATACTCATCACATCTAGCTTTAGAAATGTTTTAATGTTGAACATTCATTTGAGAGCTGTAACAAACCTCAGAAACACATTTACAGCAGTTACACGTAACTGAGCGACACACAAAAATTATCACACTTAAGTGTGCAGTGACCAACTATACCTGAAAAAGAGACCACTGAATATAATAAATACCTTTCAGCTCCTACCTACTGAAATGTTAACTTATTATGGAGCAAACCAAACTAATTAACAACTGTCCATAACCAAGTATGCCTGAGAGAAAATAAATCAGATAGATGGCAGGCCATAGAACATGTAAACAAATTTTAATTTTTTATTAGCTTAAAATGCACGTGAAAATGAAATTCCTCCTAGATGAGGACGAGGTTTAGTTTTAGGAATCAAAGATATAAATGAGCACAGAACCCAGAGAATGGAAAAAATTACCTTATAAGGCAGAATGCTGTCGGGCTGTGGAGCACAAAGAACTATGACAGAACGTGTGATATGTCACAGACTTCAAAGAAGCAAAAGACTGCTATGAAAGGCTGTGGACACTTCACCAGTCCGGTCTTAAAGGATGGATGAACACCAAAGCTTTGTTTGGAGTGGTATGGAAATGTAAGAAATACTCGGCACGTTTACAGTGGGGCTGAATGTGATCCTGAGATTCCCATCCAGCTCTGTGATTTTAAGAGTCTACATTCAATGAAGAAATAACATGGAATGACACTGTGCAACTGTGTAGTTTAGCCTCGTATCTTGTTGGCTTTTTGGTCATTTTTACTTTAAAGAAAGGTTTTGAACTAGTATCCTAATTTTACTTTTTCAAAATAAACAGATCTTCACTTCCATTTTAGTTCTTTCTGCTTTCCTAAGAGTTATGTTTTTTAATGCCCACCTTGAAATCTTCTTAAAACTTTAATCAGCTTTGACTCCCATAAGTGATTATTTCACTCAAAAATTCTGCCAACTTTCTATTTGCCTTAGAAATCTGCTACAATGATTTGATTTCTAAACTAATTCTTGCTAGAAAAGTAGGTACCTCCAGCACAGTGTCAGTGAATCTTTTTCAGTGCATTTTACCCATGGAATCTTGTCATCTTATTTAGCATTTACTGTGCCACCAGTATTCCTTCAACGCTTTACTTAGAAAAGTACCCTCTCTTTGGAGATTTACAAAGGAGAAAAAAATTACTAAATTACTACACCTTCAATATACTGTTAAACAGCTCCTCATTTGAGTTTCTCTATAGCTAATACGTATATCCTAAACAGTCCTTCCTATTGGTCTTGAGTGCTTGGAGCTGTGGTGAATACTGCTGACTTGAAATCATAGAATCAACCACGGTTGGAAAAGACCTCCAAGATAAAGACCTCCAGTCTAACCATTCACCCACCACCAATGTTTCCCCACTAAACCATGCCCCTCACTACAACACGTGAACATTTCCTGAGCACCTCCAGGACAGTGACTCCCCCACCTCCCTGGGCAGCCCACTGCAGTGCCTCACTGCTCCTGCAGAGAAAGAAAAGGTTCCTAACGCCGTCTAAAGAACGACAGCAAACAAAAAATGATGGCTAATCAGTATCTTCTCAAGTTAACATACCTCCATTCTAGCTTTGTAGAATTCCATATCACGCAGCCTCTCTTTGTACCGGCCGACTTCACTTTCGAGCTTGTCAACTCGAATTGCCTTCTCACGAAGAATATCCAATTCATCTCTATAAGCTCTGGCAGAACGGGCATCTGAGAGTAAATTCTTATTCTAGAAAATGCAGAAATTGCACACAGTATTAATGGACATGAATATTTTTTCCCTACGTGTTGATTCATCAAATATGCTACCAAGGTGATGTTCACTGGTAACCAGTGAGGCCATTTGTTATTTCTGATCTGTACACAATTCAGGAATTCAGCCACACAATGCTTTCACAAATGCTCTTAGCTTTGAAAGGAAGATGACCACTTCTGACTGTGTTCAAATCTCATGTTCCTAGATGGACAAATTCTAATCTCTGGTTGTGAGGAATTAATGTCTAGCATTGAATTAGAGACCTGAATCAATATTTACTTGCCAAAATAAGCAACTGCAGACTGTTTATCAAATTGCTGAAGAAGTTCTAGCTGGTGTTTAATAAGGCAATTCACAATAGAGGCAACAGCAAAAAAACAGATGTCCAGTGTGCACTTTTTACATAAACTCTCCATAGTTTATGTCTGTTTCAGAATATGTGCCAAAAACGGAGAAACAAACAAGCTTTGTTACTTCACACATTTATCACAGCTACACGAGCAGCAAACATAACAGATTTCCAAGAGAACTGAGCTGGCCTTTTCCAAGCTTTTCTAAGTTTCAGAACATTTCCTTGACCACTAATATTATCAAGTGGTCCTCAATAATTACATAAACTCAGATTTTAAGAACAAATGATTTTTATGCTTTCCTTCATTATCAACCTAGATTCAAGGTTCAAAGAAAAACAGTCAAAATTTGAATGTGCTGTTTTTGAGGAGAAAACAATATCAGAAATTCAGCACAGCTACTCTTTAGTCCTCAGCACAGGACATATTAGTTGCAAATATCTCAAACGTTGAAGTGAAAAAATCATCAGAGAAGAAATGGGAAACTAATGCAGAATGCTTTACCAGCACAGCAGACCCAACAAAGAAGCAAACTATTCATGTTCAGAGCAGAGCTTAAACTTGACAAAGCCCATACCTCTTGCTGAAGCTTCCTTAACTCACTTTCCACCTCTTCAAATTCTTGCTTATAGTCAAGAAGTTGCTCATTCTTTTCCTCACTTCAAAGAGAAAACACAAAACACAGTTAAAGATGACTGCAGAACTTCATAGTTATCACCCTGAGAAGCAGATGCTAAGATTTACTGATATTTCTGTTACTGACTCCAGTATCTCATGAACACATCAGAGTGTAGAACTTTAGTATGCCACTATGCTTCTGGTATTCTCCAGCTCTTAGACTGCATTTAACCTTTTTTATTTGGGCAGGCTTTTCATAGTTGTTAAAACCTTGTTCGCTGAGATCTCTTACTCATGCAGGGCAGAAAGATTAGGGGATAATTTTCACAACAAGCATTTTTGTTAAAAAACAAAAAAGGGAAAAGATAGTACACATTTTTGTACAAATAAGAATTGAGGTTTTCATATGCCTCATATGCCATTACTCACTAAAAAAGTTACTACTTAAACAATCTGGTATTATGGAAATCAGCCTCCTGCATAATGACTTTTAGTTCTATGGAGACAATGCAGTTCTTGCTTTAGTTTATTCAGAGGCTCCTAACAAAAACAATTTGATTTAGAACACTTCTCTTCTTATAGGACTCATTCTTAACTTCCAGCTAACACTTAATTTTCAGTGCTCAAGAAATGAGTTCTTTGAGCAATGAGTAATTGAAAGAGAAATCTCATTTTCTCAGAGATACAGAGTATGTAATGTTCAATATTCATTTCTGTCTCAAGACCAAGTGTTCACTACTGAAAAAATAACCAAAAAAGTGCCATTTCCCAAATTGCCCATAGTTAAAGGTATATTGCATGTTCAAATGCGTTCCTGTATCATTGAGCATTTTGGAATTCAAATATGAAACAGAAGTATAAAGGGGGAAACGAGAACAGACCGAAATGTACAACACAGTCTGAAAATAATACTGGAAATTAATCCTCACTTCTGTTTCTGTAAGAACTATAATGCTTGCTTACAAAAACAAGTAAATCTCACAGTGCATGACCTTTTTGCAACCACACTTTCAAGAAGGTCTTTGACAGGGGTTCATCTTATATCACCGCAACATCAGATATCAAAGCTTTCCCATCTACATAAGTGTCCAGAAACCAGATGGAAGTACAAATGCATTCCACACTGTTAGGTTACTGTCACTTTACTATCAACATTCATACTCCTGGTATTATTGTGCTACATGGAAATATGGAAAATCAGGTGTACAGCTTTCAAGTCTGGAGATTCTAGATCACACGCCTCAAATCACTCTTTGGATTCAAATGTTGGTATATGGTACTGCAGAGAAAAATAAGCTTAGCAGATCTCTTGCATGAAATTCTATTTGCTACAGTGTATATTAAACCAGGTTCACTGCCAAAACCAGGTTATAAATAAATTCAAAGCTTACTATTTTCAATCCTGGAATGAATCCAGTTTTAAGCTTATCAGCAGCATTTAATAACAAATGCTATAGATAGAAGTCAATTTATCCAAGTCTAGTCTTTTAAATGTCCTGCTACTTGTAAAGGAAATTTATTGAGGAATTGGAGTGCAAAATGTGAAATATTCTGAGCCATCGCTGCTGTCCTAATTGCATGCTTCAGCTACAGGCTAGAGAGGATTGTACTAAATTATACAGAACATACCAGTGTTCACTGTTTAGGCTATCTATTAACTGTCAATCAAACTAATAACAGCAATTTTTTCACTAATTTTCTTGGTGCAGCTGTTTATAGAATATCCTGGGCGGGCTCGTTTCACTAGGCACATAATAATACAGGCATCAGAAGGGGGAAAAAAAAAAGCCACATCTTTTTGTCCTCTATTCTTCACGAAAGCTGAGATGTGGTGGGGGAAGGGCTTTCTCTGCGTAAATCAACTAGATACTTAAGCCAGCCAGCTAGAGATAATCTGATCAACAAACTCTGATAAAAGCAGACCAGTGAGCTGTAATTTTGACTTATGTTACTTTCAACTCTATTTAATTTTACCTGTCTCCTCTCTCCACTCGATGTGCAAGGTTAAAAATCTCTGATTACGCCGTTTCCATGAGATGCAAATTAGTTACTACACTTATTACATCTCTACAAATTTAACATCTGCAATTTTACATTCAAACTGCACATATTTCATTCCACAACAACACAGTGCTGTACAGAATCACATACTCCCCCTGGCCTGCTATTTTTCTCCTCAGTTAACCTGACTACAAGTCAGATTTGTTCCCAGACCCTAAGGACAGTAGTTATCTCTTCATAAGTACTAAAACAGTTGTCTTTCATGAAAAAAAACAAAAACGCAGATCTTTGCTGCAGTTGGATTGATATATTTTTTTTTTCTTACATCACTTGGACCAGGTGAAGGAAGGGGGAAATACCCTGCAGCTCCAGGATCACCACCAGGGGGAGAAGGCAGCACTCCCCACCTAGATGAAGGTAACGACTTGGAAACTAAGAATCTTTATTGACCCACTCTGTATTTTTACTCACATCACAAATTACATCTTTCATAGCCATAAATAACCACCTCCTGCCAGTGAACTGACCCAACAGGTCAAGAGACTTACTGGAATTTGGTTTGCTTTATTTCCTCTACAGTCTGGCATTGCAGACAAGTTATAAGGAACAGTTTTAAGAAGCATGAGCAAACAAATGTTGTGCAGACAAACACACAGAAAGAAATTCTAATGAATGTTTTCTTCCCATCTCCAACGAATCACAGATGACCATTTCTTACTGTATTTCTAAAAAGAATGAGTTAATTATGCTACAGATAGCACTGCAGTGATTCCCTATCTCCTTTTAAATGCCATGTTTTGCCACTAATCCTCCAGTAATCAAGGACACAGCTCTTACTTCCAGATCCTAAATGTCCTCCCCATGCAACTGCAGCTGAGGCAATTTTAAGCATGTCAGATTACTCTCTCAAAAACATGCATGAACACACATACGTTAAAGCCACACTCAGGCACAGATTATTGCTCAAGAACAACAGAGGAAGCATAAAGAAGTTGCCTCAGAAACTATACTACAGACACAACATGTGAAAGAAAAAAGCAGTGCAGTGTTAGATAAGCTGTGCAATGTTAAGAAACATACAGCTGAAAAGCTGTGTTTCTCCTGGTTGTGCACAAATATGTCTATGTGCTAGGAATATGCTCCCTGGGGTACAATAGCTTAAAAAAGGCATTTTAAACTGCATTCTGACATTTGAAAGAAAGAATTTGCACACAGAGTGCTACTATCATGTGACATCAAAAATGATTAAAAATGAACAACTTTCAGCACATAACTGCAGCCTACAGGTACTCACATCTCTTGCCTAAGCCTTCTTATCTTTGCTTTGGCATCTGCTAGCTCAACTGTCAGGTGCTGTTTGCTTTCAGTGTCTTTCAAGCAAGAAGATTCACAAGGTGATTGTGCTACTAATGTCTGAGGTTGCAATTGGAGAGAGTCCCGTTCTTCTGAGAGTTCTATGATAGTCTAAGAAATAAAGTACAGGAAAAAAAAAGTTAAGCCCTTTGCACACCTCTATACCTAAAGCAAGTTATGAATAGTCACAGTTATTTAACAGTATTGATTGGCTATTGTAAAACTACTCAAATTTAGACTTAGGTCCACCAAAATAACAGTGCCCAAAATGGACAGGATAATTCCTCATGAATTCCTCAAAAATGAGGATAAAAATAAGCCTGTAAAGAAAGTGGTGCTCTTTATTAAGCAGTGGCATCCCTGCCAGCTGCATGAACAATGAATGAGAGCTATGGGAGCATTCCTTTTTGACTGTTAAAATAAAAAGGTGTTATTTCAAGAGGAAGATCTCTTCCACAGTAAAGCTACTTCTTCCTTGCTTTCCAAAAAATGATCACCACATACAGTCTCCCCTCAAACTGCTCCTTTACTCTTACCAAAACTGTGAATGGGACACAGTTGGTGACATTCACAGGAACAATTGCAACATCATCACATTCCCATGCTACTGAGGGGCAAATCTGGTTTCCTTAAGATGATTCCTAACTTGCATTGTTTTTTAATACACATCTATTTCTCATTCTCACACTGTGTAAGCAGTGCTTCATAAGCCTATAAGAACTCTGCTCCTGGGTTCTGCTCCAATTCACTCAAAACCATATGATACATGAATGCAACAGACACCTTTCAGTGACTGCCATGTACACTCATGGGTTACTGATTCCTGGAGACTTTACAGATGCAGCTCTTTTTTTTTTTTCTGCTTATAGCAGTAAAAGAGCTCCAACATTCATGTAAACTGCCTGTATGATAAAGATCAGCTGCTACTCTCCCCTCAGCTTCGTCACAGTATTCAACAGACAGTATGCATGTTGTAACCACTTGAAGCAACATTCTGGCAGTAAGGAGTCCTTGCTTTTGTACACTAACTGAACCTACATTGAAGCGTTCTAAAAACAGTAACCATCTCAAAAATCATTTCTCATGTTTCGCTTAAGCAATAAAGCACATCTGTACCTCTAAGTGCTCATCTCTTTCATCTACAAGTCTTCTCAAATGTGATGCCATATTTCTCAGAAGAGGTTCAACAGAGTCTTGTGTAAATACAATGACATCCGTCCACTGCAGATCAAACACGTTCTCCTGGTTCTGAGTTACCTACAAAGAATGAAACAGAAGAGAAAAAAGGCATGCCCTTTACATTATGCCAGGGAATAAAGAAGCATAAATAAAACAATGCTGAAACTACATGGGCTAAGTTGTCACAGGACATTAAAAAGACATGAATGTTTAATATACATTAAGTTGTATGCAATGGAATGGCTTCCTACCTACCTTAACTTGCATTTCTGGCAAAATAAGAAGCAAAAAGTGTCTAGGACATACTGCAGCATAGGAGATTCATTTTTTATTTAGAAATTTGTATGTGACATTCTCATTAAGCTCAGTTTGCAATACATCTAAGAATTTCTTGGAGCAACATGCTTCTAAGCACTGCTCTCACAATGTAAGGAATTTGATGACAAAATCTTTTTCTGAATTAAGCTAAAATATAAAGACATTTTTTGCTCCCTAAAAACAGTAGATAGACAAACTTTCCCTTTGATTTTCCTGCTTCTGAACAAACATAATAAAAGCTCTTACAAAATAATCCACCTCCAGAAAATGAAAAGCATAAAAACAACAACATACCTCTTGAATATGGGCTGCAACAGCTGCTTTTGTGTCAAAATCCAGATGTTGGATTCTTTCAATGAATTCTTCCTTCTCCTGACACTAAAATATATATACATTATATACATTAAAGCACGTCTATATAAAATCACAAGTATTTCCATTCCTCCTTTGTATTTTTAAGAACAAAGAGTAACAAAGCTGAAATTTCAGTAATCATATCATCAAATTATTATGCAATAATTTCCTTGATCAGTAAGTACTTGATTCATGCTATAATATATATAATATATGCTGTAATAATTACAATAACTTTCAACATTAATAAAATGATAAAAAGAGCAGCTACTGCAATGGGGGCAAGGAAGAAGTTTCTTAAAGCAGCTATTTGTTCAAAGTTCCACAAGCACTTCCTCAGTGTCCTCTTTTTAATACTCACATCGCTTACCTAAGTTGTTAAAAATACACAATTAATCTATTTTTTCAGTTTAATTAGCTGAACGGTGCAAGCCTCCTTAATGAACTGCAGTCCATTAGAAGAATCTATTGAATACGTGACCACAGGAGCAGAGTATCTTAGAAATACTTCCACCCTGTCATCTGTCCTGCACTATTCTTACTCGTGCTGTCGCCAGCTCAATGCACAAAGCAGCTGTTCTCTTAGTGAGGGACCTAACCTTGCCCATGAACCAAGAGCTCCCAGGAGACAACTCGATACGAGCGTACATCTGATCTGCCTTGTAGCCTACTCACTGCCAAGCCTACCAAACACATCCCTCATGGAAAAGCACATCTTCAAAGTTCAGGTTAGAACAGCCTAGAAGGTAAAGGTCGCGCAGTTACAACCTGTAACAACTCTGACAGCAAAACAGTGCAAAGGGAGACAGTGCCAGAAAGATTTACACATCCTTGCTTGACACAACACGTCTGAGTAGCGCGACTTCCCTCACTCATTTCACCCTGCTTAGTTTACAAATTAATGAAAATTAAGCAGAGTAGGCAGACTGAATGCAAGCCATTTCAGCAAGATATAACTAAGGCAACTCTTCATTGCTTTATTTATCATTTCCTTTCTTTCTTTACAGTATCTAAGGTGAGTACAGTTACAATTAATGAACCATTAGAAACCTTACAAAGTTTGCCATATGCAATAAGACATAGGAGATGCAGAGTTGTAGCCACTTGAACTGTCAGAACACCCTGATTGTCAAGGAGAGCAATACCATCATCAGAAAAATGAAGGCTACAGTTACATACAACTTCAGGTATTGAAGTAGTAGGATAAGAAAACGTTAACACAAACTATTCCATACAAACAAACATTATTTAAGCTTACCTGAACAGCACAACCAAGCATAAGCAGGAGTATTTTATGTATTTCATTAGTACTTGGCTCTAAGTAGAAAGAAAAAAAAAAATGGTGAACTGAAGCTCAGAGAACATTAGCTTTTCTCACTATTGTCTTATAATTTGCATTATCCCAACTTAGAAGACAAAGGCAAAGAAAACCCCTTCTTTCCAGCTTTCAACTTTGCCCTTTTTGCCATTTAACTGCCAACTTAATGCTTACAAATAGCTTAACATGCATGACAGAAAAAGCAAAGTTTCAGGCCTTCACACAGCAAAACTGAAGTGATGTTTTCAAGTGTTTTGGACATGACCAAGTTTTCAGCTGGAATCTCAGCTATCTCAGCATGCTTGCAGAAGCATTCAAATCATCTCTCACCCCCAGGCTATCAACAATTAAGAGGCAAATTAAATAAAGCTTTATGAAATAATTAGGCAGCACATTAGATATTCATCTCCACATCTAGAAACCAAACTGTATTTCCAAATCTGGCCTTAAGCATCTTAATTTCTTTTAAAAAAATTAATCAAAAAAAAAAAAAAAAAAAAAAAAAAGCTTAAGATCCCTATTTACAGCTCAGCAAAGATATATCTCCCTTCATACAGCCAGAATTTCCTGGTCCTGCTACTAAATACACCACATCATGCCACAGAGTGCACACTTCAGGATGGCAAAATAGTTTAGTCTAGCTGGATTAACCTCTGCACGGCCATACATCACTTTGCTTTACTGAAACAGAAAAAGTACTTCCTATTTCATTCCCAGTTCTGGGAACAAAAGAATCTCGATGGCATCCTCTCTAAAATATACTCAGGATTTCAGCAATGAGTTTATTTTGTTATTAGCTAACCAGACAAAAACTATGCTGTCAAACATAATAATGCAGGCTTGGGATAGAAATCTAACCTTTATTCCACAAACCCAAGTTCTATAGCTGAGCTGGTATAACTACCACCAGCAGCAGCATGTTCACCCCTAGGCCACATAAGGAACACTACAGGCAAAGTGCAGGTTGTGGTATGATATGCACAACCCTCCTTTAACCTGTACCAAATTTCACTTCTAATGGATTCAGTCAGTAATCACAGATGACCTCCGATGATCTTGAGATGATGATAAGGACCTAACAGATACCAGAATCATCTTTTTGAATAGCACAGACCACACACTTCCTTTATATTGACAACTACTTTGATCTACTTCGGATAAACTCCCATAAAACAAAGATGTAATCACTCAATTACAACTGCTTGAAAAATCAGCCTTTGTTTTTACCCACTTAAGTATTTGATAAGTGAAGCAAATTTAAAATCCTTAAAAAACTAAACAAGGTAATCTTGATCAAAAGAAAAGAAAGTAGAAAAAAAAAAAAAGGGTGCAAAGCCGGGAAGAGAGCCACTGGCAGCACTTTTCTGTGCACTGCACTATTGAGTAGAGTGCCTTTTTCAACACTGATTCAACCTGCTTCTCTGAGAGGGAGAGAAGTACAGCCCCCACTGACAGGTAACACATTTTTCAAAACACAAACTCAAGTGGGAGATTGTTCATCACTGCAGAGATTTCTTGCATCCCAAAAACTCGAGCTGCAGTCTCTTATGCAGTAACAGAAAACATCAGTGAATCCATTTCATGAGGAGCATGTCACCTCAGCTAGAGAAGAACAATTCCACCTGGGTGTCTATTTGAACCAACACCAATTATACAGAATGTTGTAACCCACTCCACTGTCTCACACTGGAAATTCACTTACTCCAATAAACTCATCAGACTTCTCTAAAAACAATCCCCGAATTCCTCTGGAGCTCTCATCTGCACACTGGTTCAGCATTTGACTGATGCTCCTAAAAACCTACCTGGAGATTGTTCTCATGCCTTTTCCCTACATTCCCTGATGGAACATGGCAAAATACTGAACAACCTTAGCTTCTCACTACTACTGACTGTCCTGTCTGTTTTTCTTCCTTTCACTCCATCACAGATACAGAAGTAGATCACTGAAGTCTCCGTACTAAACCCTTCAATGTGCTTCTCAAACTTGGTCCCTTATCCCATCCACTGATCTTCCCTGGGCTCCCTCTTATCCTCAATTTTCACATTCTCTGTAGCCTTCCATCATCCCACCATCCCCTAGCTTGCTACCCCAGAAATATTAAGTGATTTTAATCTTTCCTCTTCCCCCATTTAAAGAATATTCGCCTCTTCATCATCTCCTTCATCCTTTTCCTCTTCAACTCAACATTTACAACCACAGCCTGCAGCTCTCTGCATTGAGGCTTTTCCTCAAACTGGCCTCCTGTCAACTAGCATAACCAAAATGTTTCTTTATGATAAAGTCTCTGATGATCTCTTTTAAACCAAAGACCAAATCCAGAATTCTACCTGCATTTTCCTTTATTAACCAACTGCTTCTGCTACAGCCAAACATGTTCTTTTCCTGAAATCTCATCTGCTCTCACCTTCTTCAAATCATCATCTTCAGGAATTTCTCTACTTATCAATCACTTCTTATGTGCAAAGCACTGCAAGTGGGAAAAACTGGGATACATTCCAAAGAGAAACCACAGCTGCAGCCTAAGCCTTACAGGGTGAAATCCTACTCACTATTGGAGAATCTGCTTTTGCTGTAAAAGATTGCCCTCATGCAATCAAATTTACAAAGCAAGTCTCTCTAAAGGTCGCAGAGGTTTGATTTTGCTACACTACCCTCCCCCACACTCCTCCTCCACCAAGAAAAAGGCTTTCAGCTCCCTATATATGGGATGAGGTCCTCTTCAAGAGAACCGTAAGAGCAGTATTTAAAAGGGCATGAAACGGAGAAACTTTTTGGAGGAAAACAATTTCAGATACAGGCCTGTAAGCAACTTCAGCAGGAACCTGAAACATCTTCAAGAATCTCGTCTGTATACCAGAATGTATTTTAATCCCTGGGCTAAGCTACTGTAAAGTCTGCATTTTCTCTCAGATACAATAACTTCTCCAGAAGAGAGCAATACATGTATTACCAGAGGTTCCAGATGCCAAACCACAAAAGCTGAGGTCCCACAATAGGAAGAAGCTTCCTTATTAAGCACTGAAGCATAGGCTTCTGTGTACATATTCAAATATTACATTTTCCTCTGTGGTTTTTCATAGTGCATTTTTATTGGAATTTTCTACCACGGTACATAACCTTAAGCCCTTAAGATGTACTCTGTCTCACTATCTTAAATAGAATAATAAACCATCACTACAAAAACAACATTACGACCTGTTTGGTTTTTTTTAAATCTGCTTCTCCACTAAATCTCATTTTTAGGCAAATCCATGGATTCTTTTAAAAACCTTAGGAATGTCTGGAATCAAAGTATAAAAGCACAACGTTGGAACAACAGTGACCACGTTCACACTTAACAGTGCACGTGACAGATCATACTACCTACACATAGAAAAACTTAAAACACCATGACCTCAGAAGCAAAAGCAGCAATCATCAAGAGCCAAACGTAAAACTCAAGAAAATTAAATCAAGATATCTACATAAATGGTGTATATGCAGATGGGATATGGAAAGTATCAGTTATGAACCCTGGAGTTGAAATGAGAGCTAACGCAGATGGCTCTTCTTGCTAACGAGAAAAACCTTGTCTCACACACACTGATGCATGGCATGTAAGACCAAAAAAAAAAGAGGAAAAAAAGCCAGGGGAAGCTACACAGCCTGTTAGAGTAGTTCCTAACCTCTCTGCTGAGGTGTTAGAACATCACAGGTATTGGGACACATTAGACCCAAGGAAATTAATTCTGCCCAATCCATAAGTGGCTCCATGCAGGCCAGGTGTATCTGCTCCGTGCTTCTGGAATTGAGAGCATGGTGCAGAGATTCCCAAGTAGCTGTGGATAGTCAGCTGGGTCCATACAGGCTAATTTTCTCGGTCTGAAAATTTCAACTCTCAGAGCTGGAAGCAAAGAAGGTGGGAGCATGGAGAAGACAGCGTCAGTTCAGGGGAGAAAGAAAGAAGGTAACTGCAACATTTTTCAGGCAACGATGCAAGAGAGTTTGGGGGAAAAAAAACAAGGATTAGGTTTTGGACCAAGTGAGATGCACCAAACCACCAGTTTTCTCAAGGATGGCTTAGGTAAGAGCAGCTGAAAACGTACCAGCTGGGAATACATGAAATGTATATTTTGTCATATCAGTGGCTCACTGGTTGCTGGAAAACGCACATCTGTGTGAATTCAGTGTTGAGGTTTGGAATTTTTGTCAAGTATGGACCCTTGGTGTGAACAAAGAAAGTGTTACTCAGTGAAACAGCTGCTAACAGCAGCTATTTATACGTGAAAAATATTTCCAGTGAAATAACAAGTTATACCAATATCGATTTTCATCTTTGTTAAAAATAAACTTACCTGAGAGAGGATTTCTGCCGATTATTAAGACATTCGGCAAAGCCATCATGATCAGCTGCTGCAAGCATTCCTATAAAAGTGAAAATATTTTCACAGTTGATGTATTGAACAAAAGTATCAAATGCTGACCAGCACTAAGATGAAATTAGTATTCCACAAGTAGTTCTGAATTATATACATCTTAATACATACACAAACAATACTTATTTGCACCCTAAACAGAAGGCTTACAACTGAATTTCTGCTGCACAAGCCTTGTTTTGTTGGTTTGCAGGATCACCTCAACACAGTGAAATCCCCATGTGGTAAGGAGGTGGTTTATTGGTTTTGTGCCTCAGAATGCAGCAAAATTCCTGGTAATTATTAGTGTTAATGTTTCTCTGACTAGCTTATGTTTGTTTGCTCAAAGTTTCAGTTGAACAACGGAAGATGAACTTCCCTGAATTTATGACCATAGTCTTAAAACCTAAATACCTAAATAAAACCTAGAAGTCACAGCTTTTCCAATGCATTTATGCTGTGGCAATCCTGAATATGAAGGCAGAAAATCCTATTTGTCTGATCAAACAGAGTTTTAGTTTGGTAAGTCCCACACTCACGCAGCAGCTTTGCCTATCTATTCCACAGATTGTATCAATGGATAGTTACTGTCAGCCAGTAATGGCTGTAATCAGGTCAAATCCCCAGTCTAGACAGAGCCTAATTCTTCCCAAGCAGAGTAGTCTTCCTCCTATTCCCAGATGTTTATTCACAGATGCAATCATATCAGCAGCTCTGGAGTCATGCTTTTTGTTTTTCCACAGTAAAACAAATGAGAAGATGCACTTGTAATCTAACTAAAATGGCACAGAAAAGAGGCACAAAACCAATAAATCTAACTAAATGGCACAGGAACTAAGAGTCCTAATTATAACCTAATAAATGTGGGATTTTTTTTTAATGATATATTTTATCAGTGCTGCTTTTTGGACAAATACATTAGCAACACCTCAATGCAATTATCTGCTGTGTTGAGAGAACGCATCTCATAAATTATATAAAAACTACATGCAATAAACTAACAGACAATTTCACAACAAACAGTTTTTGGAGTTAAAATAAACTAAAGCTAAAAATTAAAAAAAAATAAAATAAAAATCCACATCTTATTCCCAGGTAACACACATTATTGTATGGCAATACAGTGAATATTTTCCACTACCCAACTCCATTCCATTCAGAACACACCAAACACGACGCCTGTTCAGAGGGCTGCCTGAGCCACTCAGATAGAAGCCCCCAAGGCTCAATACCAGTGCATCCATTAAGCACTTGCTTCTCTGCTTTGGGTAATTCCCCAGGTGACAGGAACTGCAGTACCCTCCCCTTTCTGAAGCTGAGTTTGCTCTGCTGCCTTGCTAACCCACACACAAGGCTGCAGGAAAACACCAGCTGTTAGGCTGCACTAGGTTTGAGAGGGAACAAAACCAACAGTCTTCAAATCCCAAACAAATCCTGGCATTAAACAACCCTCTTTCTGGAATTATCCTCACGACCTCGGATGCAGGAAGCTTTACAAGTGATCTGTGTGGATACATGCAGATGGAGTTTGGGATATTGTGAAGCCTGCTGCAGCACACAGCCCTGTGATACCTGGGCAGCCAGACTGGAAAGCTGTAACCCAGATATCTTAATGGACTGCATTGTTTTATGATTTTATCTTTGTTTCAGTTTTGTATAAATCAAATCATTTGTTCACATTCAATTTACACACACTTAAAAGGAACTGCTTGTTGTTTGAGCAGGAACAGAAAATGACACTAACAAAGGGAGGGAGATAACTTGGAAGGTTCTCCTGACCACCACTGCCCCCATTCTGAGCTCAGGTAAATAAAAGCACTACTAGTCTAGGTCCAAATGCTACACTGAACAGAAACTTCAACCAATAGAAGTAAACTGGAAAAAGGGATTTAAAAATATATATATTTTTTTTAACTCAGGTGGTATTTTTAATTCAGAAAAAACATCAACCATCATTAACAACCCTCTGTGCCATGTGGCTTTCCAGTACATAGTGAAAAAATCCTCAGTGAATATTGACACCAGGCTATCTTATTAAAGATACAGTGATGAAAAACAAGAATTTGGGACAGAAACAGAAATCTGTATGTTTCAGCTGGAAAGAATAGTGTAGAAATACACAGGGTACTGAAATATGCATTACTTTCCAAATCATTTAAAACGAACTCCTTGTGTTTGCAAGTCAAACGCAGATATATTCTTTATCAGAAGCACTCAAAGTCAAAATCAACCTGGCTTCAGCAATACTAGTGACATCAAACTGGCTGTCAAAAAACAGAACAAGTCTGAATATACAAAAGCATGTACATAACAGTAAGAAACTTTTCTATTTTTTTGAGGCAGATATTTTTGATTTTTTTCTGAATTTTTAACGCAGATACAGTTTAAAGCGGGGACATTTGCAACATACACTTGTACACTTCAATACTTTATGTCTTGATTTATGTACAAATCAATTCCCACTCACTGCTTACTCAATGTGGCAGTCCACAGGCAAAATAATATTATAATAAAATATTATTGGTTAACAAGGACCAAAGGCCTAACCCTACAACTGCAGTGACAACATCCTGCACTGCAAACAGAAGCTTACCTGCTTATCTCATCGTGCTGTGGTTTTGTGGAGCTATATGGTCACATTCACACTGCTCTGACATCCCACACCTGAGGACTGCTGCACCAGCACTCACACTGCATAGATAATCCTGTGCTTAAAAATGCCCAGCAGTCCATTTAGCTTGTTTTCCTTCATTGGTCCTTTCTGCCCTTTCATCTGCACCACATGTACTGCACAGCAGCCTGCTACCCTTCTACTTGGACACCCTCAACAAGTGTGGCCTACACTGAGGTCACAGGGCTAGCAAACTTGTCCATCACCTTCCCACAAGTTGTGCATGAGCATATGTCAGTACCTAAGAGGAAAGGGAAGCAGCATTTACCCTCAAGCTTAATGCTTAAGCCATTGCCTGGGATGTGACACACGTCCACTCGGGAGCATAAAGGAGGAAGTGCAGTATGTGACCATTACCAAACATTTCTGCAGGAATGAAATCCTGAGCTGGAACAGACAGGAAGGAAATTTGATGGTACCCAGCAGAGTGCCATCCTTCTTGCTGCCTCTTATTGCACCACCTTGCCAAATTCCCCCTTCTTTAAGAAATTAGCAAACAAACTCCACACAAAAATAACCTGTTTCTGAGAAGCCTGCTCTATATTAAGAAGAAAGGATCTGGGCAGTCGATCCTTCCAAGGAACAGAGACTGGGAAATAGGAAAGACAGACTTCCATAAAGCCCAGCAAAGCTGGCAAATCAGAGAATGACCTCAAAGGAGGCAGGTAAGGCTGGCAGACTGCTGAGCGTAACATTCAAGGATCGGTCTGATGAGTGCCTCAGGATGCTGCCAGGGGGGAAGTGCATACAGGGTCATTGCAAGATTTTCAAGCTGCAGCATCAAATTAGGAAGTAGATGAATATAAATGATCAATGGTTGTGTATCTACAACCCATCTTCTAACATTTCCCTCCAAACCAACCAAGCACAAAGTGTAAATTTGAACAAATGCTCCAGTTTGGCTACTAAATAATTTTAGCCCCTACTAAAATGCCAGACCTTTGATGTTTGCAAGTTCCCTCACTTGTACTGTACGGAGGGACTGGCATCTCACAAGATCAGAAATGTGAAAGAGTGGCACGCAAAAGGGGAAAAAAAGGCATAAGCAGTTCTATACAGCTTGCACTTCGAGAGCAGGAGTTGAACCATTAAGGGCATGATGATTGAATCAAACATTTATTGAAGAAGAATACTTTAAGAAAAAGACAAAAAACAAACAAACAAACAAACAAAAAAACAGCTTTTGTATGTTATTTCTAAGACAAAGGCTTGGATCAACACCCAAAATCCTGAATCACATCAAGACAGATCAGTGAAACGGAAGCAGTTTGGCCTCACGCTTCTAGTGGAACAGTACCATGCACAAGAAGCACAAGGATTGCTTTATTTTCAGGTAAAGATCATTTCTGTCACTGGTGTTGCACCTGTTACCTGTAGCACTAATACCTGTCTGCAAACAACTACCATCAGGAAATGGAAATGCCTGAGTATAAGCCAGCAGCACTTACACCCACATGCAATAGCTGCTATGTATCACTGCAGTAAGCATCAGCTGGGAATTCTCACTATATTTTGGAGTTTTTAAGGACAAAGTGTGTATGGGTACACACATGAGAAAAAGCTTACAGAAGTACAGATACCGCAGTGATGAAGTTAGAGGCAGATAATTGAGATTTCCTCCCACATCTGGGCTTTCCTGCTTGCCAGAGCATTCCGAGGAAGTGGGAGGAGACACTAAAATACACACTGTGAAGTATGCTGGTGGTATCCACAGCATCCTGCTACAGTCTGTCCATGTGCCACCAACTCAAATTAGAAAGCGTGGTATTAACTCTTACCTTCTGCACAAGATGAACACACAAAAATTCAGGAACTGTTCTACAGCTCATCACAATGTTTACTGCTCGTCCCTATTAGGTTTTTATTTTTCCTAACAAAAATCAAATGAATTCTAAACACACAGATGCACTGTACTTACAAAAATGTTGTTCAGTCAACTAAATGTACATACAGCCATTTACCTCGGGCACAGAACTTGTCTCAATTCAGAAAGACACAGATTAAGGTACTAAGTGAGCAAAGATGCAGGATATTCACTATATGAAACAGAACATCTTTCACAAACGAGTGCTTTTGGACTCCTCCTCCAGCTGTGAAACTGGTGATGAAGAATTCTGACCAGATTTATAAACAACAGACTAATTACACTGTTTTCACAAAATATTACTCTTATTGTTATTACTTTTAAAGGTAATGAAAAAAAAATGCTCAGAAAGAACTACAGGCAGAAGGTATTGTAAGAAACAATTACTGACCTGGTAGAAATATTTTATTTTCTTCACCAAAATAGACAAGTTCTGAATCCTTAATGATTCATCATTGTTGACTCTCTTGTTTACATTCCGATTAGTGGACTTTGGATTGCTGCAAGAAATAAAAAGAAATAAACACAATGAAAATTAACCTTTAAACACATCTAATAATGCAGAATGCAACTTGGAGCATCCATCGCAGCTACAAGAGAAGGAATACAAGAAGTTACAGTGATTGACAGTCACAGATTTGCACTTCTCTATAAGCAGCCCCATTCCTGTGGAATACAGAAAGCAGAACAGGGCTGTAATGTAAATATTCCAGCACACACTGCAGACATTAGTAATTATTCCTGATTGTGCAGACAATTATGAATAACAGAATTCAGACTAGCTGCATTAACCAATGTCTAAACTAAAAAGCTGCACAATGTTATTTCACTACCACGAGGCACAGAATCAGAATGAGGCTTCTAACTTTTAGAACAATATGGAATACGAAACACATCATATTAACACACACTAAACTACTTTAAACTTATTTACAGATAGCTGAAATCTGTCAACAAAGGGATATTAATGAGTGTTTGTCTTGTGTTCTCACATACTACCAGATTTTTCTCTGGTTTATCTCTGCTTCAGAGAGGAAATCAATCCCTTTTTCCTTCCAAAAGTTTTAAGGGTCTGACAAAATGCAGATGAGTCATTCTTTTTCAATACCTCATAACATACCATGCTATTAGCCACATACAAGAGAGTGTAACCAACAGTCATTGTGATTTTTCCAAGGAAAGCAACACAGAATCAGTGCAACACACCCACAACGCCCTGCAAAAGGCTTAGAGAATTGCTCAGAGATGGCCAATGTGAACCTTTACAGATACTTGATGCAGCTACACAATGCAGCTTCTGTTATTTAATGATATTATTGCATTGTTCAATAATATTGCTGTAAAATGAGAGTGCAGCTAGCTGGAATGCTGCACTCAACCAAACTACCAGCTTCTCACTGGAGGCTCCTGCAGGGCCATGTGTCTGCTGGGTCTGCTTTTATTCAACACAGTCATTAATGATTTAGACAATGGAATACCAGAGCTGCCATCAGCAAAAACTGGGGGGGAACAAAAAAAACACTTCAAACAACAGTATGACAACTGAGCATGATCCTGAGAAAGTGCAAAAGTGCCCAGATAGCAATAAAACAACATTCAATAAATGCACGGGCAAAGGGTTATATTTGGGAGTCAAATGCAGAAAGAGGAGTAACCTCCTCTAGAACAGAAATGAGCTGAATACTGTAGGGAATACAGCCAAATACTGGCAAAAGAGAAATAGATTCTTTACTTCTTTAAAGACAAGTGCTGTCTACAAGAGAAGTCATCTTATCCACGGCACAGCTGATGCTGCAGTTGCTGTGATCACCCCTCAGGACAGCTCTGCACTTCAGTTTTTCACAAGGTGATCACAGAATCACTGAATCCTTAAGGTTGAAAAGACCTCCACGATCCAGTCCAACCCCCAGCCCGCTCCCACCATGCCACTGCCCACATCCCTCCGTGCCACATCTCCGTGTTTCTCAAACACCTCCAGGTTTGAGGACCCCACTGCTCCCTGTGCAGCCCATTACATCACCTTACCACTCCTTCTGAAGGGCAGTTTTTCCTAATATCCAACCTGAACCTCCCCCGGTGCAACATAAGGCCATCACCTCTCATCCTATCAATCACTCATTACCTAGGAGCAGAGGCCGACCCCAGTGGCACAAACTGCACACAGAGCATTCCTGAAGAGATCCTGAGGAGCCCTGAGTGCAGTGGGTAAGAGCTGCACACCAAGCATCCTGCAGGAACCAAAGACCTGAACGCCAGGTGCTATCAACTCTTGGAAAGGGTTGATAACTGCAGGACGAGGGGAAATGGCTTGAAGCTGAGGGAGGGAAGATTTAGGTTGGATGTCAGGGGGAAGTTCTTTACTATGAGAGTGGTGAGGTGCTGAACAGCTGCCCAGAGAGGCTGTGGATGCCCCGTCCATCCCTGGAGGTGCTCAAGGCCAGGTTGGATGTGTATTTACACCTTTTCTTCAGTTAATTACTATCAGCATCTCCCAACTTGTAAGCATGGACACAAATAACATAAAAACACTGCTATAAAAAGCAAGTTGGATCTTTTTTACAATACACCTCTGAAACAGTCATTCTTAGGACAGAAAACACTACATAAACACTGCTGCTATTTTCTTGTACATAGAAATCTACAAAAATACAGACACAGATTTACACAGGGGTAACTGCTTCACTACTAAATGCTCATCACCACATTCCAGAAAAAGCTATAAACAAAGGATGCCATAGAATATACTACCAAAACTATGCTACTATGTCATTCTGGGTTTATTAATTGAGTCCACCTGAAGTTACTAAAGGAAACAAATGGGCTAAAAAAGATTATGCTTTACAGACACGCAGAACTGAACTCCTTTCTAAACTGAATTCATTCAGACTCGTTAAAACCAGAAGAGAAAATCCAGGATAAATCTTGGTGATGGAATACAGAGATCAACTGGAATCTCCTACTCCCGCATTCATATCTTCAAAAGGCTGATCTGGTTCTTTAATCTTCACCTTTAATCTTAAAGACGATTACCTCCAGGCTTTAGCATCATCTTCAGCTGCACTTCTAATGCTACACATTTTAACTGAGTGTCCCTTTAGAGAATCCTTAACAATGTTTCCTGGATATCATAACAGCATAATCTTTAGCACCACCACTAAAATTCACGTGCAGTTACACATATTCAAAACACAGATGCCAAAAGCTCAGGCTGTGATGCAAACCTCAATCTTCACAAACTTGTAAGGCAAATTAATTATGTCCATCCCAAAACTACAACATGTAAACAAATTCCTGAACAGCAGCAGAAAAAAAAAAAAAAAAAATCAGCACTGCAACTATGTGTGGGAAGAAAAACACAACTAGAGCCCAAGATTTCTTAAGATGCAGGTGCTTTGCTGCAGCCCTGCATCAATCCTGCTATCTTTTTGTTTTGTAAGATAGCATTTCACTGCTGGCACTTACACACACTGTAAGACACGGCAAGTGTGCTTTACGTTTTATTGGAGGATATGAAAAGACACTTTGGAAACCAGGAGTCATAACACTCAGGCACAGTGAGGACCTACAGAGTCATCATACCTGTCCCCAGCTCCTGCATACTCCTGCACAGAAATACCTGCTCATCCCTCACACCATATCCTATCAGATTCTAATCTGAGCATTATCAGGACATCAGCAGATACTCTGTCAACAGTACTACAACAAAATCATTCTTAAGTTTCATCCTCTCCACCTTAATCCTTACAAATCCAACAACGTACGGATCAACTCTGGCAAGTTAAGCCTGGTCAAAGATGATCAGAAACTGCACGGTGTTAATCTTGTGTCAAAGTTAGTGTCAGTGAGTGCCAGACGTTTTCTGACTTGTTCACTTACATTGCTTCTGAAAGTAAGGCAACATCCCTTTGGATTTATTTCCGACAGATCACCCTGTTTGTCCCTCTCCTTTACATGTTGCACATCTTCATCTCTCAACACCAACTTAATGGCTGACACGTTCCTTATGCTTTATGAAAATACCTGCCTTCTTTTTCGATAAAAATTACACTATTTGAGGTCAAAAAGTTTCATTAGTTGTTCTTAAAACCCACAGCGTCAGATGTGAGCAAAATTCTGGCTTTCAAAACATGCCCCAACTGCACAACAGACACCCAAGAAGGGCACTGACAGATCACTGCACTGAACTGTCACCAGAAGAGCTGATGAGGCCCCTTGGAAAGAACTCCACTATTTTGAAAAACAAAACCCCCTTCCCATTACCAACAACCAGGACCTGTTATCTAGAAAGCACCAACTTTAAAACTCACTGATCTTCCTGAACTACAAACCACCGTTTTACATCATCCTCATTTAGTCAATACAGTCCTCAGAGGGGCAGCTGGAGTATTAATTCCTTAACTTGCTCCTTTCAAAGCACAAAACCACAGCATGATGTTACTTAGGCTTTCCGTTATATATGGTTAGTACAGACGTATTCTGTCAGACTGCTACGTGCCAGAGTTACTTTAATGTTCCTATCAAGCATTCTGAAATAACTGGGAGACTAATGAAATAAAATATGCAACATTTTTCCAAGCAGAAAGATCATATCCTAAACACAAATCCCAGAATTTGTATTGCTTTCAAGAGCATGCATCTTCAAATTTGTTTATATTTTGTTGCAATTTATTACGGTTATAAAAGGTTATTTACACCAGTGCCAAGTAACTGTTAATGCTAAGAAAAACCTGTAATAAATTTAATAATGCTAAATGCTAACACTTATTAGAATACAGTCGGTCCAATACCAGTGAAACAAGATGTGCTGTTGGGAACCTAATAAGTAATAAAGTAATTTTAAAAACAATTTCTAAAATGGATCTTTTACAAAGATGAGCATTAAAAACCAGTTTTTAGAAAACAGAAGGTTCTTGTGGCTGCTGCCCTGTTTACACTGGGAGCTTTTTTAACACAACACACTCTGAACCGGTCCCTTTATTGGGTGGAGATACTGAACTGCTTCAGTGGCAAATAGCCTAGCAAAATAGGGCAAATCTGTCAAGAAGTCAATAGGAAGCAGAGCAGTAAAAGATACCCTTAAGCAGTTTTGCATTTAAGAGCAACCTACTTATGACAAGATACATTAATCTCAATAGCAATAAAAACAGACAAGAGCATCTATCCTAATAACACATCAGTTGAAAACTACTGAACACAGAGAGAACTTCAGTGTTTTTGAAATATTACCAGTGCCACGAATTACAGCTTGAGACCTCATATAAAATCAAGGATTGTCTTTAATTTTTCATTGACCAAAAACCTATCAGAAAAGGGAACGTGATAGCTTAATGGCTTCATGGTTAAACCTCTGCAAGCTGCAAACCAGTTGTGTCCTCTCTCACCATCTGTTCCTCGTTGGTACTTAATCATCAAGTATTATGCCACACCCCAATTTTAAATGTGCCATTGAGTATAATTGTTGCACATCTTAAAGGGTAATAAATACTGACTGTTACTCTAT